CCTCCAGGGCAGGCGGGAATTGAACTCATGCGGAAGTGGCTTCAGATTCTCAGTGCTGTGCTTTAACCCGCTGCGCCACCAGGGAGGGCCAACTTGTTTTGTTTTTTAAAAGATTTTATTTATGCATACAGAACTGGGGTGCAGGCCAGAGGTGCAGGGGCATTAAGAAGATTCACCAGAGACAGAGTGGGGAGCAGATCAGGCAAACTGATGAGGTACATTGCTGAGGGATGCAGCAGGCGGGTCAGAAGAGGTCTGCCGAACCATGTGGATCACCTCCAGGGGTGGGGATGGAATTGCACTGAAGCAGCTGCAGCTCACCTGCAGTGCTGCTCTTTAACCCACTGCACCACCAGGGAGGGCCCCAAGAATAATTTGCTAAGACTAATATGAGAACTGTTTGACAATTTAATGTCATCAGTTGCATTATCAAAGACTGAGATCTTGCTGCAATTACATATACTCCTATTCAAGCAGAAGGTAGAAGTGAAGTAATTAAAAACCAAGCATGATTAATTTAACATGACAAAGTATTTTCAATAAAGCTTCATCCTAGTTAAAACTCAGATTAAATTTGATATTATAAAATGAAGACCATTTCAAAACATTTCTTGAGCATTTGTATTTTTCCTTGTTTTAAAAATCAATCTGAAAAGATAAAATAAAATTATAAACAACAACCAAAATAAAAATCTTGTCTTTATAGATTTTAAAATACCTAAAGTAACCTTACTTATCATTTCTATGATGAAAATTCACAAAAACATTCTTAAAACACTAATACTACTTCTGTCACATTTAGAGAGATTCTATAATCTAGAAAAACATACTAAAAATAAAAATTAAGCTCAGGGGGAAGCAAATGTGAAATTGTCCAGAACGGGTCTTAATTTTGCCATTATAAGAGAAATGACTAGTAGAGTACTGGTTAATCAACTGAGTATAAAATGGAGGTTAGTTAAAAAGGCTTCGATTGCATATCTAAGTTAAAAGCTGCTCATTCAAAATTGGCATCTTGGCAGAATATTACTGTGTCAAACAATCTGGAAACTACTCTTTTGGAATTTCTGAATTTTCTTACTATTTTAAATGTGAATTATAAATTATTATACTTGGAACAGGATTTCATTTTCAAAAACAACTTAAGTGACCAGTCTGGTATAAAATGTGAGCAGTAAAGACCAGTGGGACATCTTGAAGAGCAGCAAGGTGCTACTATTGATATAAAGTGAAATAACTGCTTACTATTAATACAATAATCTAAAACATAAGTTTCAAGAACTTGCTGAATAATTATGCCATAAATATGAGTGCTAAGCACTACACCCAAGGATGTTTCATTTGAATGTAAACTACAGGAATAGTTTTTTTTTTTAAAGTGAATACCAGATACTCTTAATTACATCACTTTATATAAATACATATGTGTATATACATAAACATACAAAGTAGATACCAATCAACTATTTAAATACATTTTAATTTTCTGAGTGTGTTAATGAAAATTCATGCTACACTGAAAATCCCGAGTTTCTAAAAATTTTTGCATAGAGAAGCGACATAATGAATGAGGTGTTTTTAGGAAGATAATTTAGAATATCAGCATAAACCAGGCATAAGGTAGTTAAAAATCTAGAGACAAAGATGACGGAAATAAAAAGTACAAAAAAGAAATTTATAAAATATGCACCTGGTGGAACAAGGGTTAAAGCACCGCAGTATGAATCTCAAAGCCACTGCAGCATGAGTTCAATCCCTGACCAGGGAACTGACCCACACAGCATGGCAAACCTCTCCTGACCCACCGTTGCTTCCCTCAGCAGTTATTTCAGTAGATCTGCCTGTTCTGCTCCCCACTCTGTCCTTAGTGAGTGCTCTCACCTACCACTCCTCTGGTCTGTACCCCAGTTCTGAAAGCATAAATAAACAAATCTTTAAAAAAAAGAAAAAGTGCAAACAGAACTGTCCAAAATTAGTTTTCGTTACTATGTAACAATACATAAGTTGTAATCATATGGAAGTAATCAAATGTAGAGATGGGTATGATAAAATGTTCAATTAACACCTTGTTCTTTTCTGCTTGCCCTACAGATCCAAGCACCCTTCTTTAAAGCAACATTCTCTTTATTAGTCTGCAATCACATAGGCTCTATTTTGGAGAAAAACAGTAACTAGTAGTCAACAGTAACTAGTACATTGCTAGTTGTTTAGGAGTGCTTTTAACTGGGGTACAGGTCAGCGATGTGGAGGGTGAGAGGATTCACCAGAGACAGAGTGGGTTACCCAGAGACAGGCAGATCGACGAAGTACACTGCTGAGGGGAGCAGCGGGCGGGTCAGGAGAGGTCTGCCTTGCCATGTGGATCACCTCCGGGGCAGGCGGGAATCAAACTCATGCGGAAGTGGTTTAAGCTTCTTTGTGCTGTGCTTTATTTAACCTGCTGCACCACCAGCGAGGGCCCTAGGAGTGCTGTTTTTAACAGTCAGTGATAATAATGTCAAAGACTGAGAAATTAAGGTAAATTCTTTTTTTATTCTATGCAACTTCTATATCCTTTTCATGCCCTCCAAACCCCACCAAATACCACAAACATCATTAATTTCTGCCTCTTCCTGAATTTATACATCAGTTTTAAAAAAGCAAGGACCAACATTTCCAAAATCCATTATAGGAAAACTCTTTAGGAAAATCTACTTCTGATTCTTTTGGAATTCATCCTGAAAAATCATAGAATAATTTACCTCAAATTTCTTCACCTTTTCCATTGTTATCAAGCGCCTTGATGTGTGACTGGAAAGCTTTTGCTCACAGTTGCTAATGAGTTTCAGGCAAGGGTGGCAGGGCACCATCTCTTCGGTGTATCTAAAGAAGAAAGAACAGCTGTAATGAACACCTCACACAGGATCATCACGGGGGCATCCAATGTGGGAGGGGACATCTCACTCACTACATGTCATACCATTTTTGTACACATCCTAACTATGCACATAATCTACAACCTGCATAATGGCATTTCAATGAACCCTTAACAGACTTAATAAATCTCTACTGTGCCTAAACTAACAGGAAGGCAGGTATCCTATTTTAAAGCCCCATTTTTATTACTTTCCCCCTACAATTCAATCATCTATTTAAGACCTAAATCATCCAGAATAGACAAATCTATGACAGGTAAAAGCTAAGCATTGGTGTTGACTGTTATGTGGGGGTTTCATTTTGGGGTAATGAAAATATTCTGGAAAAGGACAATGGTGATATAAAACTCTGTGGGTTTTCTAAAAACCATGGAGTTGTATACTTTAAAAGGATGACTTTCACAGCATATACAAATTATATTTCAATTTTTCAAAAAAATAAGTATGCAGTCTCCCTTCTCCATGAATCAATTTGGACATCATTTTCTGTAGCCTCAAGCTATTATTTCCAAATGTTATTAGCACTTTACCTCTCATTTAAGAGACAGATTTTATGTTGGAGTACTTACTAAAAACAGTTTAAAGAGTAACTACTTCCTGTTTCATAAGAGATGAAAAACATGTTCTCTTCACTGCTCTGAAGCCCTACAAAATTTTATTACAATTAAGGTTTATCCTCAAAGCCTACTCTTAGGAATACTTTGTTAGGTTTCTTTGTCAGCATTTGTATTACAAGCACTAACATTTGGACTTCTATTAAAGGACATCTTTCAAAAAGAAAATGTCTAATCACTTCAAGAGAGTTATCTGTGCTTAATGACAATTAGAACATGTCACTAAATGGTTCTATGGAAACTGTTCACACAGTTACATTCATTCATTACATTAGCAACTCCTCTATCATCAAAGATACAACTTGAATTTATGCCCTTTCACCTGAGTATTACATAAATACTCAGGGTCACTTACAAATAGCTGAAATTAGAAGTAATAAACCCAGAAATCTAGGTGATCTATATAATTTTACATGGTAAGTCTCTGAGTAGACTATTCTGAGCAGAATTGAAGGATTAATTCTCCTAAAATGGGTGACAATTAAGGTGTGCTGAACAATTAAGGTTAATCTTGAAAAATGACCAGAATTTTACCACTTAGCCATAAACCAGAACAAAATGTATTACTGGGTAAACATTGAAAACAGGGAGGGGAAAAAAGAATGTCTCCCTTTTTAAATTTAAATTATCCCTTTGGTTATATGCCTTTGGAAATCTTCCCTTGTCGGAAATTATTAAAATGGAGGAGGCATCACTAAAGAAATACGCAGTGGCCACTTTTTAAGGTCTTTAGAAACATTGAAATAGTTAAAAGACCCTCCAATTTAATTTTTTGTTAAAAGCAAGGAATAAAGACTACAAAAGATATTCTAACCACACATAATTTCTGTTACAATTAAATAATAAACTACAAAATAGTAAATGCCAGAAAGCACAAAAATTAGTGGGATTATTTCAAAAGGACAGAGGAGCCACCTCAAAGAGACTGACTGCCACTGATCAAATCTGAGACAATTTGAGCAACAAGATAAATAATGACAATAATAAATAATAACCTGATGAATAATGTAAGAATCAATGACTCCATGCTAAGACAAATTACTAAATAATGGGAAGAAAACTCTTCCTTACAGTAGAATGCCAACTCACAGATGCAAAAGATCAAACAGAAAAGTCATCATTTCAGGGGTTGCTGACAACAGAATTGTTACTTTGCACAGTGCTTAGATGAAAACCAAAACCATGCTACAATCTTGGGACATGTCCCTGCGATAAGTAATCAGCGGGGGTAATGATGGCTCACAGTGGAGAAACCTGACAGAGAATGCACTACCAGATGATCAACTGAGACTGTCAGTGGAGGCTGACTTTGTGTGCCGTGACGTAATGCACAGTATTATTTTTGTGGTATTCCTACCAAGAAATTATTTACCTACTCATAGAAGAAACAGCAGAGGACCTGCTTTAGATTCTACTTTCCTAACACAAGACATGTACTCTACAAAACTGTCAAGGATATAAAAGGAATGATTTGAGAAAATATTCGAGTCTGGAAGAAAATGACATGATGGGTGACACAGTCTGTTTTCCTGAATGACTCTGCAAGTAATAACATTTGAATGTGGCCCATGAACTGGACAGTGTTAAAGTTGATCATCTGGTCATATATTCTCTGTTAGGCTTCTCCACTGCAGTACTGTAAGAAATATACTTCCAATGTATTCAATTCAATGGAGGAGTCATCAATCAATGAAGGAGAACTGATGATGGTTTGACAAATATGTTCTCGTTTCTGAGGAATACAATGAAATATGTGTAAAGGTGATAAAACATCATTATCTGTAATTTCTCAAATAGTTCCAAAAAGACCAGTGATAATGACTTATGTAGATTAATGGGCATGTGCCAAAGTGAGGTGGGGTGAAGGGAAGTAGGGTAGGTTAAGTATTTGTCTTAATAGCTGGAAAATATGACTAAGGGAGTCATGGAAGATTTTTGTACACGATCTTAAATTTTTCTGTAAGTTTCAAACAACTGCAAACAGATTTAATAAAATCTTAGCCCAAGCACTTAAATTTAAAAAAAAAAACACAAGTGGGCCCTCTTGGTGCCACCACTTGTTAAAGTGTAGCACTACAAAGCTAGCCCATGCTCAGATCCTCAGCGTGCGTTTGATCCTGGGCAAGGGAGCTGACCCACATCGCACTGCAGACCTTTCCTGCCGCACCTGCTGCTCCCTTCAGCAGTGTTTGTCATTGATCTGCCTGTTCTGCTCCCAATCTGTCTCTGATGAATCCTTTCACCAACATTGCACCGCTGGTCTGAACCCCAGTTCTGAATGCATAAACAAATCAATCTTTAAAGAAAAAAGAAACACACACACAAGTAAGCTTGTTACTTGTATGTCTTGCTAAGGGAAGAACCACTTCTTCACTGACATATACTCTGCTGATATTAATAAAACCTCATCTATAACTGCACATGCCAGATATGTGAGATCTAGCAGGATGCTGAATTAAATGAACACAGCAATGGGAATAAGGAAATAAATTAGCTAGCTAGTGTTTACCTACACATAAGTCATTTCTTGGAGTTAATTTTCTTTATATAAACTGAAGAGATTTAATGAGATTATCATTGGCAATAAAACATAAACTCAGTGTTAAAAGGTGTGAGCATGAATATGTAGTCTTATAAGCTGATTAATAAACATGTGGTCAAGTTGAGCCATGGTAATTTATAACATGTTTACAAAACAACAAAAATGAGCATGGTTTCTAAATGGTGAGGAACCATCTACAACTGTGAAAAGACAAAATGAGTTAACACTATTTTAAAATACTTTTTGTACAAATATTCATCGTAAATCAATTTTCGAAATTTATTTATTAAAAATGGTAACTGCTTTGGCTATCAAAGAGACTATCCCTATTCTTAACAATACACATTAAAATATAGGGGTAAAGGACCAGAGTATATACAACTCACTCTCAATAAGAGAATTATATATTTTATAAAAATGTATAGAGAGTTAACACTCAATTCCACTGATGATTGATGATATAGCAATCAGTTCCTTGGAATTATAAAAAAAGAGTTTCAGGGCTATTGGCTTAATTTCTACAGTCGGTTTCTAGAGACTGCCTGAAGTTTCTTGCCATGTGAGCTATTCAATATGGTGACTAGTTCATCAATCCAGAAGGAAGAATCAGCTAACAAAGAGTCACATAATGTAACAATAATTACAGAAGTGATAATCACTTTTGCCATATTTGATGGCAAAAATAAAGGGAAATTAATGCTTAACACTATGTAAAAACAATGTACAAAGAGGACAGATAATTCCTAGGAATTCAAATATTTTTTTAAAAAAGATTACTACAGCAGATTAAATAGCCAAATTTTGAACTTAGTATCTTAGTTATCTTTTTAACTCTAAAGATCCTGTCTTTTTCGATGTTTTACATCAAGATAAAATAGTTCTATTTATGATTAGTAATTATTAAATAATAAAACCCAGACAAATAATGTTAAATATTATCAGGGTTTTAAAAATATGCAGTTTTTATTTTGGTCTTGGCTTTTAAAAGAGATTTACTGCATTTAAAGTAATTTAATCAACATACATTAAAGCTACATAGTAGTAGACAGATGAATGACTCAGTTGAGACATTAAAAATTATGTTTGTGCTGGGAAGCTACATGCAAAAAAATGAAACTAGATCAATACCTCACACCATACACAAAAATCAACTCGAAGTGATTAAAGACCTAGACATAAGAACAGAAACCATAAAATGCCTGGAAGCAAAGTAGGGCCAAACACTATAAGACATACACTTAAGCGATATCTTTAAAGATAGAGAGAGCACCCAATGCAACAATAGTGAAGGCAAGGATAAATAGATGGGACTACATCAAGTTAAAGAGCTTTTGTACAGCAAAAGAGACATTACAAAAAACAGACATCCCACTGAGTGGGAAAATTTTTCTCACACAAAACTAGCGATAAAAGATTAATCACAAAAATATATGGAGAACTGATGAAACTCAACAAAAATAAAGTAAACTACCCCATCAATAAATGGGCAGAAGAGCTACAAAGACAGTTCTCCAAAGAGGAAATACAGATGACCAACAGGCATATGAAAAAATATTCAACATCACTTGTAATAAGGGAAATGCAAATTAAAACCACAATGAGATACCACCTCACCCCAATGAGAATGGCACACCTTAAAACAACTAGCAACAACAAATGTTGGCGAGGATGTGGCAAAAAAAGAATTCTCCTATACTGCTGCAGGGAATGCAAACTAATACAGCACTGTGGAAAACTGTTTGGAGATTCCTCAAACTGCTGAACATGGAGCTTCTACACAACCCAGCAATCCCACTCCTAGGTATCTACCCAAAAGATACAAAAACACTGATTCAAAAAGATGCTTGCACCCTCATGTTTATTGCTGCTTTATTCACAATTGGAAAGACACGGAAACAGCCCAAATGCCCCAAATGGATGACTGGATTAAAAAGATGTGGTAAATATACACAATGGGATATTACTCAGCAGTCAAAAAAAAAAAGGACACATGTCTTTTGCAGCAACATGGATGGAACTGGAAAAGATCATGCTTAGTGAAATAAGCCAGAAAGAAAAGGGAAAATAACAGATGGATTCTCTCATAGCAGGAATATAAGGGAACAGGCGAGAAAATAATGATAAGGATAAACAGCTATATACCACAGACATTTTGTGGGGGTGCAGTGGAGAGTGGGATCAAAAACAGCAGGGGGAGAGAAATGCATTGGACTATGGTGATGGCACATGGGTGATTTGGTGATGGGAAGCCCAAGGGGATTGCAAATGAGATGGAAAAATGCACAAAATGATGCAAAAATAAACTATTATATATATATAATTATGTTTGTGACCTGGCAAAACAGCTACTGAACGATTATGATACATCATGCATTGATTTAATGTGGTATACAACAGGGATTGGCAATTTTTTCTCTGAAGTGCCAAATGGCAAATATTTTAGTATTTGTGGGTATAGTACTTCTGTCACATATAAGTTTCTGTCCTCTGTTGTTTCTTTTCTTAAAAAAAAAAAAAAAGCTTTATTTATTCATACAGAACTGGGGTACAGGTGAGAGGATTCATCAGTGACAGAGTGGAGAGCAGAATAGGCAAAAGATGAAGTACACTGCTAAGGGGAGCAGTGGGCGGGTCAGGAGAGGTCTGCCTCTGGGGGCGAGGATCAAATTTGCACTGAAGCAGCTGCAGCTTGCTTGCATTGCTGCACTTTAACCCAGTGAACCACCACGGAGGGCCCTGTTTCTTTTTAACGACACTTTAAAACTGTGAAAATAAATCTTAGTACAAGTGGTTTAGAAATAGAAGCTAAAGACTATATACGGCCCAACTTGATGTGAAATAAAAAGGTCAAAGCAATATAATTTTATATGCATGTATGATAAACAAAAGACTTCATACACACATTGATTATAAAGACATTTACCCTGAGTACAATTGGAGATAAGGAATGAGTGAGAGATATACAAACATCACAAGAAAAATTATATCAAAAACAAAATGATTTAATATTACATACTCTGGCGTGTACACCGGTAACCAATAGACCAGTCTTCCACCTAAGACGAGGGTCTCAGCTGCAAAGTTTAACAGGTCAAAAAACATATCACTCAGATGATAACTCAAGGAAACAGGAACGTGACTTTCTGGACTAAACAAAGAAAACAAAATTGAAAAATCAATATAAAACTGTTAAACTAAGTTAGCTGAAAAGAAGCAATGTGCTTAATTTCACATACCACTTTTCCATCCCCTTCGGCACTTCCCTCTCTGAACCTGTTCTTCTTGTAGATTCTCTGATGCCATATGGAGCTAGACAGAAAATACATGTAACATAGATTGTCAAAAGTCACCTACTCATCAGTGAGAAGCAGATGGACATCATGTGCATCCAGATGTGACACCCTGAGGACGATACAACATCATCTATGTAATATTCCATCTGAGAATGTTCACGTGAGAAATACTCTTTTCAAAATACTGGGAGTTAGGGAGGTTTGCAGGACCCTATGTTCTTAAAAAAATGTAAGTTATAAATCTTAAGAAAGGTTATGAAAATACTACAAATCAAAGGAAGCATAGAAAATGTAATATCTGACTCTACAATGGATACTAAAGGCAAAAGTATGCCATAAAGGATACTAATGGATCAATAGACAAAACTGAATAAGAAACTGTAGATTAAAGTATTGTATCAATTTACTAATTTTAATAGTCATACTTTTGTTACCTAAGAGACTATTCTTAGGAATACATGTGAAAATATAGGGGTAAAGGGCACAATGCATATGACTCACTCTCAGTAAGAAAAAAATGATGTCATAAAAATATACACACAGAGGGAGAAAAGTAATACAGCAGACTGAGAATTGGAAGATTTCTAGCTTTCATAAAGTGTATAAATACTAACTTTGCAATGCCTTGACAATGTTTTTGTTAGATTTGAAATCATCTAAGTCACCAAAGAACTGAAAAGGCTGAGACGGATGGGTTGAGAAATGATTGTGCCACCGTTCACAGATTTACTGGCAAATACTATAGAAAAGGCAGTAATGTTCTTAAATAGGATGTCTGAAAAGCCAAAGAACTCATGCGGCATGAAAACAAAGTCCTCATACACATTTTTGAAGCTCAGTAGGTTTACAAACCCAGCGGTTCACAGAATCCAACATTTCTTATAATTCTAGAGAGTAGATGCCAGTGAAAACAGGGGCTACAAAAACAAAAAGGTTACACATGGAGAAATGAAACACTCTTCTTTGAAATCTGATGCCATAATTACAAATGGCATTTTGGCTACTGTCAATATACTAATAGCCAATTATAGTCACATATAAAAACAAATATATGGCTCAAAAATATAAGCTAAAAATAAAAGGGATGGCAAATTAATCTATGTAGTTTAAAAAAAACTCTTAACTACATTCTAATCTACATCATAATTTTCTACTTACTATGTACAAAAGTCAAGAGTGGGTGAAATACTAAGACATGTTGTTATTTTTTGTGTGTTCATAAATTTTGTACTTAATATAAATGACTTTAGGAAAACAATCTTACTCTTATTTTTGTATTGAAAACTTACGATCAGTGATGATTACATCAAAATATGTGCCCTTCCTCCAAGAAGGTTTAGATGCATCTGAAACCAGGACATCAAGGTAATATTTCTCTAAACCATACTGACGAAGATTTGCCCTTATGTTTTCGTCTGGTCCTCTCCATTTCTGATTTTTCCTACTAGCCTTTCCTGAAGGGAAATAATATAAAGGAAAAGATCAATAGAAAGTACTAAATCAAAGTATTCCTATTTCTTGTCACTTAACTAAAAGTAATGCTTACGTCATCTAAATTTATATTTGCTCAATGCTTTCACTTGAAACCCTCTTTTTATGACATTATTTTTTTATTTAAAATCATTGAACAAGCACATAGGGAGTGATGAAAACAGGTAAAGGAGATCAATTTTATGGTAGGTGAGAGGATGGAAATCAGACTTTTGGTGAACCTTAAAATAGCACATACAGATGTCAAAATACATGCTTTACACCTGAAAATTCTACATTATAAACCAGCACTACTTCAATAACAAAAGGACTCATTATGCAATACATTCAAAGCATATACTAGTAAGATACAGTGTTGAACAGAACATGATGCCTTTTTAGCAAACACACCCATGTAGGTAGTGATGAATTAGATGAATAGAACAGAAACAAAGAGAGCTAACTTGGGAAATACAGGAGCTGTGCCCATGAAGGGAGGAGGCAAAATGTTCCCATAACTGGTAAAAAGTTAAAGAGGAGGCTGAAGGAAATAGTTCAAAAATTTTAGATTAAGAAACAAAAGTGAATGATGTTATCAATTAAGATCATATAAACCAAGCTGAAGAGAAAGATGATATTACTTTCGATTTATCAACCCTGATATACTGGAGATACCCACATAATGTTCACAAAAGACACAGTAGGTAGCTTGTAGGCCAGAACATATACAAACATTTGGAAATCTCTATATATGCAAATTCAAGTTGAATCCTAAGAATGACTTTTTAAAATTATCCTAATTATTCTAATTTTATACACTATTGCTTTATTATCTACTTTGCAATAAAGACAAAACAAAAATCAAAAAAAGAGAAGTATCACCTTTACATGTTACATTTACCAGTAAGAGAATGGGTTAAAGAAAGATGGCTGAAGTAAAGCCACATGTAAGAGAGGTCAAAGAAAACTATACAGTCATAAGGCAGCTGAGATAAAACAAAATGAAAGTATAACCACTAGCTCCCTGTCTAGAAAATTAAGAGGACTTTACAAAGGTCAGCACTTCCAAATATTGTAGCTCTGTGATGAGTAAAGAGTTTGTGGTAGGCATGGAATCTGGAAAATACACAGGTAAGACTGAGAGATCAAGAAGAGGCAGGAAGTAAATACTAGTTTTGTAAGAAGCATCTTGGCAAAAGCAAGAGGAAAACACAATGGTAATTAGAGGACCCATACTGGGTTGGTGGAAAAGGTCAGTATTAATAAATTAGAAGAAACTTGAATGGCTTAATACTGAATATCTTACAGTGAAAGACTAGAAGTCTTAAGAATCGGAGAATATAACTAACAGTATCTGACTGAATAATCTCTACCCAGTCAGAATTCTACCCAGGAGGACAGACAGGCACAACAACTTTGAAACGTAAGGTGAATAAAAAAAATTCAAACAGATTATAAAGAACTATTTCCTTAAAATAATCATATTGCAGGCCCTCCCTGGTGGCACAGCGGGTTAAAGCACAGCACTGAGAATCTAAAGCCACTTCAGCATGAGTTCGATCCCCGCCTGCCCCAGAGGTGACCACCTCTCCTGAGGTCCGCCTGCTGCTCCCCTCAGCAGTGTACTTCGTCGATCTGCCTGTTCTGTTCCCCGCTCTGTCTCTGGTGAAGCCTCTCGCTGCCCCTAAGCCTCTGGCCTGTACCCCAGTTCTGTATACACAAATAAATAAAATAAATAAATAAAAAATAAAATAAATAAAATAAAAAATAATAATAATAATCATATTGCAGCCGTGGTGGTACAACGGGTTAAAGCACAGTACTATGAAACTATCATAGGCAATGCAACACAAGATGGATCCATAGGGGAGTGATCCACATGGCGTGGCAGAACTCTACTGACCTGCCCACTGCTACCCTCAGGTGTATTCCAGTCAATCTGGCTTTTCTGCTCCCCACTCTGTCTCTGGTGAATACTCTCACCCCCCGCACCTCTGGCCTGTACCACAGTTCTGTATGTATAAATAAGTGAATCTTATTTTTTTAAAAAATCATATTGCTTCTAAAAGCAAACTGGAATAATTATTAGCACATTTGTTTTATTTAACAAATTGCAACCAAACAGTATCGTGCTTTTCTAGTCAACCCATTTAGGTAAACTTTATAAAATATAACTTATTTTCTTGATGGTAAATGTTATTGAATTCCTTAGTACAAAGCAGGGAAAAAGGTCACAAAGTGTAAAGCATCAAATTGCTTCAACAAAAGAAAATAAAACAAATTTTTATCAATATAATAACATGAGGCAAAGAATTTTTTAATGATTGATTCAAATTACAATAATGAAATAACACAAATACAAATAATTTCAAAATCACCAATAACACTTGACATTTTTAACACTATTTAGCTACAAAGAAACATTTTTTCAGTTGGATTCAATTTTATCCAATCATCAGTGAAACTTCTAGAATTTGAAATATTTCCAAATATTTTAAAAGCAAAGCATATGCAGATTTGAGGGTATCTCAAATTTACCCTCAATCTAAGGCAAAATCTTTAAAATTATAGCCACCTTAATAAGTATTTCAAGTGTGGGTTTTTTTCAGTTATAAAATTAAAAAATATATATGGTATACCAGAACTAGAAATCAATCCATTAAAAATGCAATGATTACTAAGAGTCTTTAAAAAAAAATTACTGTATTTTATAAAGAGTTACATGTGGATTACAGAATGGTTAGACGCTCTCTGTTATTTCTTCTTATCCAACTCTAAAGTTCATAACTTTACAGCATGCTGACACAAATACTTTTGAAAGGAAAATTTGTTGTTATTCATCTTCGTGTTGCCCTACATCACTTTGAACATACTAGATGACTTCATAAAAAGCAGATACCCAATTAAACTTATTATAATAAGTAAAACTGTAACATAATATTGTATTTTAGCATTTGAAATACATATATTTAATCCCTTGGAAAGTTAATTATTTTAAGAGTATAACTGTTACAAGAACATTGTCTAGAACCTCTACTCACCCAAACCGTGAACTGTGTTGTAGTCTATGTCTGTCCCACATACATATGCACCAAAATGAGCAGATGCTATCAGAAGGCCACCTGAAAAAAATCACAGAAGCATGTTCTGTTAGCCAGAAAGTCCTACACTCTTGTTCTTCCCCTCCTTAATACAATTTAGAATCTTACAGAGTAACTGCAGGCAGAGTACCCTAGGAATGACAATATTCCTGCTGATAATTTTTATCAAGCATGGTCCAGGAATATTTGTTCAAAACCCCGAAGCTGAGCCCACTCCACTGATCACAAATGCTCTGGCATCACTGCTTTAAAGAGCACTACTAAGGAAAATACCTTTATGTGGTTAAAACATATAAACAAGCTTATGTAATTTTGAGGTATCTATACAAAAGTATCTTACTCGTTTCTTATAAATAAGCATAGACAGCTGCCATACAAATAGATAGCAATAAATACATGTGGGCTCGAGTCCCTCTAAAATTACAGAGTTTCAAATAACTAAAGAGGTATTAAAATACTGGGAAAAAGTGTAGTTACTTCTATAACCAGTGAAGCAATTGTCTCTTATTTTAAACTATAAAATTCTAATAATTATCACCAAATATATGTAAACAACAAAACATTAACTTTTCTGTTAATATTACAGCCAATACAAAAACAAAAGTTCCAAATCATTCAAAGAAAAATTTGACTGGACTAAACAATTTGGAAGCTATAACCAGTATACATATGAAAAAATCCTAACAGATTTAAAAATTTAATGAATTATTTTAAAAGAAAAGGTAACTTTTTTTAATTTTGTAAGAAAAAATTCAGTGTAATTTAATTTTAAAAATCATATTTTTTATTTTAAAAAATCTACATTTTGTAATTATCCAAATTAAACCTCTCAGAGCTTGGGCAAGTCCTAATAGCTGAAACTAGAAATACATTTTTAGACTACAAGTTGTGCACAGTCGCAGACATGAAGTAAAGACAAGGCCTATTTCCCTTAGATCCTTTGAAAAGTGATCTCTAAAATTAAGATGGGTAGTGCCTCCAGAGGATCAGGATCTATAAACTAATGCTGTTCCTTCCATATCCACTTAAAACAGAGTCTGGTAACATGTACTAAAGATACTTGGCTTGTGAAAAAACTCCAACTGCATCCTGTGTAAGTCCACGAAGAAGAGAAATGTAGAACTCAAAGTGCAGAGGAAATCAAAATCTAGGTCCCCTCATAGTAACTGAAAAAAATCACTCATAGTAACTGAGTGATAAGATAAATAAGAATGCCTACGATATCTACAAGTCCATATTTAAGGAAGGTACTGTATGTGACGACTCGGAATACTCACAAAGTCACTTCACCCAAATTAGAGGAATTATCACAATTCTGCCAATTAAGGCAGATACTCACCTAGAAGAACTAGTTGACAAGGGGAACAGAATAGCTTTCCTGCGCTTCCTTAAACAGAACCTTATCCATTTGGTTAAAGTGAGTTTTGAGAAGAACCAATTTAGAGCACATAGCTGAAAGGAGATGAATAATCTGTTAGATTTCATCTATTAGTTGAGTTTGTGCCCTCGCTTTATGCTTTTAAAGTTTTAAATAAATCATTATAAACTAGTTTCTCTGATTTGGCTACAGGGTAGTAATGACTATTACTATTTGTTTTTTGTGTGTTTGCTTTTTTTTCCAGCAAAACTGAAGTATTTCTGCCTTTAGTTATACCTCCACTGGTGTTTCCTTGGAAGCTTTCTGGTGGAAAATATAATAAAAAGAGAGGTGAAGTGTCAAGAGAGCAAGTAACGTGACTCACCCAATGTCTTAGTACAACACCAAGTATAAAAATACCACACATGTGACTTAGGCTAGCAATTCAGTGTTTTAATTTCTCATTACTTAAATAGCAACCACTTTAAGGTTGGGGTAATACAAGCAGAAGGACACAATAAGTGGAATTTACGATACAGAAACTAAGTTATGGTTTTTACCTTTTGAGATTTAAGCTTTGCAAAAGTATAAAAATGAGAGACTGGATTTGGGTTTTGCTAAGATAAAAGGAAGAAAAATAGTTGATATAAATATATCTATTTTATCCTTTTTTTAAAAGAGCTCAAAACTAAAAGCCTGAGCAAAAAGATTTTGCCAGAAAATAATAACAAACTATTAGATTCAGGAAAAAGACTACAAAAAATTGTGGACAAATGGGAGGCACTGATTATTACCCAGACTTACAGAAAGTTACTCTCTCCTAACTTTGTCTTGCTAACAGTATTCTCCCTGAACCAGGACAATTTCCCAAAACTTGGCTCTTTGGTCTATCATTTTGCAAATTCAAAGGTACTTCACTCCTTTGGGTGGTTTTGTTGTTGTTGAGTTTCAAAGGCGCTACTTTCTTTTTCTTATACCTACTGGTTAATCTGAAGGTAGAAGAGAACAAGCAATATGCCCAGGGTGTATTTTCAATAGCTAAAGGTGCTAATCCTCCAGAGAGGGGTCAGGGAGAAGGGAGAGCTACAGCTATACAGTTGTCATTAATCACACCAAATACATACAGCAACAGGCAGATATTATTATCAACTATTTTCACCACAACCAAAGAACTAGAGATTTATAACTTTAACCCTCAATTTCTTTGCTGCCTTAATTTGCCAGTAGTTGCATAATAGTAGTACCTTAGCAATTAGTAAAAGGGACTAGAAAATGAGTTTAGGGCCAAACTACTTACCCTCACCATTCAATATTACCCATATCTAACCTTACTCTAAAAAAAAAAAAATTCTAAGTTCCTAAACTAGTAATTAAAAAAGTGATAATCATTAGTTAATGTGACAAGCAACTCCTTAGAATTTTAAAGACACTTATCATCACTCTTAATTCTTATAATATATTACTATCACCATTTTGTAAATGATGCAACATTTTAAGAATCTAGCATAAAGTCACATAGTTAACTGACAGGGAAGGAATTAACTCACTTCTTTTCTCTATGCCATGACATCCGCTTTAGGGTCAGCACCAATTAAAAGTAAATGTACATTTATTTAATTAAGTAAAGATGAAATTATTTAATAAAAGTTGTATATCACCCAAAAATCTTGTATCATAAGCAGGATACCTTTATAGGAATTCAACACATCTATGTTGATGATTCCTTCTGTTACACTCGTGTTAGAAACGCTTCCTAAAATACAGAGAACTGACCTAGTGATAGTATATTTTTTCTTTCTGGAAATACACAACTTAAAAAAAAAGTTAACTAAAATGAGAATCAGTATACTTGCTAAAATGGAAATGAAAATTTTCTGTAGCTAGTGATATTCTGCACAACAGTAACAGATTGTCTAAAAGGAAAAGGAAAGCTGTTTAGGAGAAAATATAAAAATAAAAAACAACTTTCTGGGCCCTCCCTGGTGGCGCAGCAGGTTAAAGCACAGCACAAAGAAGCTTAAACCACTTCCGCATAAGTTAGATCCCCGCCTGCCCCGGAGGTGACCACATGGCGTGGCAGACCTCTCCTGACCCACCCGCTGCTCCCCTCAGCAGTGTACTTTGTAGATCTGCCTGTTCTGCACCCCACTCTGTCTCTGGTGAATCCTCTCTCCCTCCGCATCTCTGGCCTATACTCAGTTCTGTACGAATAAATTAATAAATTTTAAAAAAATAATAAAAATAATAAAAATTAAAAATAAATACAAAACAACTTTCTTTTTACTTTCCCAGAAGCTCTTTACCCTATTTCCCTATTTCCTCTACATCCCTGAAAGCATCACAGGTCATGAGGATCAGCAGATATTGGGAAACAGATACATTTCAATTTGTGTACCTTTAGAATGAAAAAGGGATTGGAAACACTGAAAAGGGGATAGAAGGAATAAATATCAATTTGTGAAAAAACATGGCCATGAAGCAGGGCACAGGACTACTGTCTCTCCAATCCTTCAGAAGGTACTACCCATCAGTGAGACAAAGGCTCGAGAAAAAGGACAATTTGTGCTTTAGAACTGTGCCTATTCACACTGATTCCCTATTATCAGTTTCAAAACAAAACCATCAAAAACTAGCTAACATGTTAAAATTATGATTAAGCTATATACAAACTATGAAGATGTATTTTTGCAGTACTTTTGCAAAGATCTTCCTCTTTCAATTTTACATGAACTGTCCTATATATTGCAATTAACCTGCTATTAGTTGTCCTGCATAAATGATCTGTATTACCCACTCCAAGGCGCTTCCCAAAAGGAACTTAGAGGCAAGTCTCCTTTCCTCTTAGCATACTACAGGCAATCAACAGCTTTACTGTTACAGCAGTTAGCATTTGTAACACACTCAGTTTATCTAAATCAAGGGTAGATATTTTACCTATACTAGAACTCCATAATTAAATCTTATGGTCTGGTCTATGTATATGCAGCCAAGTTAAGCATCTCTACATCTACAGCTCAAAGAACTCTTCTCATTTCACAGAGTTGTTTTAAAATCCAAAAACAGTATTAAGTAGTAATGAAGAGTTCAGCATTTGGAAACAGATTAGATCTATTCTAAACATCTATAAGACAATACATCTACAAGACAGTAACTCCAATGGACCAGAGATCTGGAAGAGAAAAACTTTAACTACAAAAGTACTGAAAGAAAATGCAGCTGAATTCCTATGTAAGTTGAATAGAGAAAAAACTTTCAAATTGTAAAAAGAAATCACATGTAAGTCAAATTAAGCTTGGAGAAAATGCTTGCTATGTATCATAAAATGTTTATATATTTAATTTATATATTTAGTAACATATATAGCCATATACATGCATACATATTTCATACAGGAAGGAAGGTGGGGATGAGTGGGTATTCCAAAGTCCCTAACACGGGGTTTTAAAACTGGGTGGCACGGAAGAGGGTTTGGCCTTCCTGGTGGTGCAAAAGGGTTTAAGTCCCAGCACTATGAAGCTATCCATAGCCACAGCAACGTGAGTTGGCTCCCTGGCCAAGGAGCTAACCCACATCCCACATAAATGAAACAGACCTCTCCTTTCTCGTCTGCTGCTCCCCTCAGCAGTGTACTTCAAGTAGGTCTGCCTGTTCTGTTCTTATATGCATAAAGAAAGAAATCTAAAAAAAATAAAAATTAGGTGTCTGGGAAGGAGGATGAAAAGATCTACCTCAAATCAAACAAACAAATGAGCAAAATGCATTAAAGATAATGACCCTAAATGATAAAAAATTTTTGGAATCCATTCACAATAAGTGAAGTACAGACACCATGTTGGGACAACATTTCACCCAACAGATTGGAAGAACTTCAAAAGTTTTAACAATTTTTTGGTACTTTTCTGGTGAGGTTGTGGGGAACCAGGATTCTCCTATGTCTGGCAAGAATATAAAATGTTATAATGGAGAATTTGACAACACTGAATAAATCTACTATGCATATTCTCTTTAACCCAGCAATTTCACTTACAGGAATTTACCCTAGAGCTCTGTCTCTAACATCAGGAAAGTTTATACACACTAGATTATTCACTGCAAGCATTATCTGTAACTGCAAAACATTCCTGTAAGTTTTTCATTATTTTCTGAAAAATTTCAAAAAGTGGGGGATGTGTTTAGGATAAAGAACATAGGAAAAGGGAATAGATAGTATGCTGGGGGTATGAAGACCATGTTGGTGTGGAAGAACAAACAGTCACTAGTGTATTAAGGCAACAAGCCCAGAAAATCTTCCACACACTAGAAATCGCTTCACCTTGTTGCTATATCTTCCTAATCACAGTGGGCACATTCCTAAATTATGATTTATGATTTAACAGCTGGCTGGCAGACCTCAATGCAGAGGGAGGCAGTTTCATCACAGTGGTTAAAAGCATGAGCTCAGGAGTCAGACCACTTGAGTGTTGAAATCTCATTAAACTTATATACTATATAACTCTGAATAAGTCACTTAACCTGCTGGTGCCGTAACTCTTCAAGAAGACTTAAAAGTACCTCTATGCTAGTTAATATAAGAATTGCAAGCAACACTCAAAGGCACAGCACAGTATCCGATGCATTTACTACTCAACAAATGTTTCATATCTCTGCTTAGAAATATGAACTCCAACCACAAGTATTAATTCTTCCTACACAGTCTAAATCACAATGGGTTTAGCCAGACAAACAAAATACGACTACTTCTTAGATATGAGCAAAACCAGACAAAAATAGTTAAGCAGGAAAATATTTTCAGAATCAGGTATAAACTCAGAATTTCAAGCTTCCCACTCTAGATTAGTTACATGGACATCCCAATCAAATGTACACAGAACCAAAACAGTGGAGGGAGGGAAATGCACTGGACTATGGTTATGGCACATGGGTGATTTGGTGATGGGAAAACCAAGGGGATTGCAACTGAGATGGAAAAATGAGCAAAAATATGTAAAAATAAACTATTATAAAAATTTTTAAAAAGTACACAGAACCGAGGTCACAACAGATAAAAACTTACCCCATTACTACTTAGCACTTTTCTTTCTTTTACACTTAATTATAAAGCTCCTCAAACCAAATCAAGCTGGCATACTGTTTTTCTCCATCTAAATATAATATTATCAATTTAAAAGATGAATACTTTTTAAACCTTTTAACTCAGATTTTCCTGTTTATCAAGTCTTTTCCCTGTTTTTCTATTCAAATAAATAATACAGCTTTGCATGTCCACAATGTTGATATTGCCATGTATGGCATGCTTCCCCCTAGTGGTTTACTTGGGGGAAAAAAAACACACAAAATGCTATTAGTATCACCTCTAAAGAGGCAAAATTGTTAACCTCTGATGAAGCTATTACACAAATACGTGATTTTCTTAGATATTATCTAAAGATATTTAAAAGATTAATCTATCCATTTAAACTTATAGCAAAAATGACCTTTACTAATATAAACAACATCTATTTCTATGCTGCTGAATAGTTAAAATACCTGTTCCAACAAATGGATCAAAAACAATATCATTTTCTTTCACTTTTCCATGATTGGCCATGATGAATGATAAACCGGCATCCATGCTGGTATTGCCAATAAAGTGCCTCTTTTTGACACTGTATGACTCAATAAGTTCTCTCTGTCCATCAGCAATCTAGATCAGAGATAATTGTCAAATTCCAAATTAGTAAAAGCATACAGATTTAAGGCAAGCATTCACAATAAAACCACTTCCCATTCATCACTACTATAAACTTATTCTGTTAGAAAATATGAATGAGATATAGAGTAAAATGTTTTTTACTTAGTGCTTTACCATTTACTTTAACATTTCAAACCAAATTCAACTGAATTTGAACAGTTTTTCCAGGACTGGTAATGAGCTGACTTTGCCCATCTTTTTTCTCCCCTAAATAACACTCTGTAGCAAAAAGGCACAGCTTCTACTCATTCACTCATTGTTACTGCACATTTATTTTCAGAATGGAAACCAAGTAGTTTAGATTTTCTAACAAGTCTGTGTCAGTGTTTCCAGGTATACAAGGACTCCTTATCTAATGAGTCTCATGTACTTCATAATAACCTCTGAAAAAAAAATATATACCCATAAACTTTTCAGTGATTTAAAATTATACAGTATTTCTGACTCCAGCAGCTTTAAAGTTCTACATGTAGTCATATGTAAAGGTTTTGCATTTCATTCTCCAAGAAACAAGCTAAAACAGGGAAAAAGGAAAACTTGCTTACCCATCTACCAAAATAAATATTATGTGGATTCTCAGGGATGCAGTTTGGATTTAAACCATAATCCTCCAAAACAGAGAATATATGCTGTGGCTTCTTTAAATTAACTTTTCCTTCAAATGGCAGAAACTCAAGTGCCTAAAAAATAAAGCAATTCTAATGTCCTATAAAAATACAGAAGGAAAAATAATGTGGTGCTCATACAGTAATACACATATTCTAAGTCTAGATATCAGTATTAAATAAAACAAGAAAAATACTTAGCACAACGTGGTACAAAGTAAGCACAGATAAGACACTATTATCTATGAATAGTGGCCAGACTATATTAATCTCTCAGGTGTTTGTGCTTTTGCTAAATTTACTTACATCTATTCGTTTGACTTTTTCTTCTTGTGTCAATGTTTTATTAAATGTGTGAATCTTTATTTTATATGTAGAATCTGAATGTAAAAACGGAACCTAAAATAAAAGCAGAAAAAAATATTTAAGCTTATTTATTTGATAGTATGTGCAACTAATTCTTTATAATACTATGTTTCACTACGCACCATCTTCTCCACAGGATAGTTTTTAAGAGAATTGTACAGCTCCTCTGGAGATTTTCCATGACCCCAAAGTTCAAATATAGACCTAGGAAATAAATTATTGGTACCAATTTTAGTAAAGAAATTAGATCATACAGTAATGTGTAATAACTGCTTTATCAGCTCTTTGTATTCATAGCACTAAAACAATTACTGTCCATTTTCTAAGCTATATGCATCCTAGTAACAAAGTCCAAATCAAAAAGGATCAAACTTTACACAAGGGTGAAATTTAACAGATTTTTCCTAGTTTTCACCACTATGTTTTTATACTAGAACACAATAATGCAGTAAAATAACTTAAATATTTAATTATAAACAAAAGATGTTTTTCCAACACCTTCCCCATAAAACAATTAGGTGAAATTGTAAATTAACACTGAGTGACCATTAGCAATTATTAGTTATTTTGCTAACTTACAAAACCAAAATTCCTGATAGGGAAAATTTTTTCTAGCCTCCATCAAGGCTTGAAATTGCCAAGAACATTTAAGCTTTTAATTATTATTAATGTTTAAAATTCTAAGTTTGGCCAATTCATTTTTTCAACAAATATGAATTAAGGGTTATATATAAGAACAATTGTTCTAGGCACTAGCACAGAGAAAGAATATAGTTCAGTGCTCTTATAAAATTTATATTCTAAGGAAAAAGACAGACCCCTGTGGGCACAAACTTAGAGAAATACAGATTAAAAAAAAAAAAAACTTCTAGAAAGGGAAACCTTGAAAAACAAATATAAACAGCTTTTTTTTTTTAAAGGTAATATTGGTGACAACATTGTACGTGATTTAAGGGTACAGGTTCATACCTCTTTGAGGTATGTTATCACACCATATCCAACACCAAAATACCCATAACCCTCCAGTGTAGACCACTGGGCCTCTTGCCTCCTTCCTACCCTGTTTCCCTTACCCTATGCCTTCTCCCCTTCTGCTAGCTTTACTCTACAGTCAGATTTCTAAAGGTTGTTTTGGTTTAGTTTTGCCTGTTCTTTTGTTTTGGTTCTTCACATTCCACACGAATGATCAACTTGTTTAGTTTTCTTTCTCCCTCTGACTTATTTCACTTGGCATACCCATCCATGTTGTCTCAAATGGCAAGATTTCATAACCACAAAAATCACATCTTTATCCATTCATTGTTGTTTGGGTACTCAGGTTGTTTCCATTAACTTGGCTATTGCAAATAATGCTGCAATGAACATAGGAATGTACATTCTTCTTCAATGTAGTGTTCTTCCATTCCTCAGATAGAGTAGCAATGTCAACCATCTATGGGAGATCTATTTTTACGGTTTTGAGAAGCCTCTATACTGCTTTCCATAGGGACTGGACTACTACATTCCCTCCAACAGGATTCCTTTTATTCTTGCCAATATTGCTGTTCCTATGTTTGTTTTTCATAAAGCTGATTCTCATGAAAATGAGGTGGTTATCTCATTGTGGGTTTGATTTGTATTTCTGGTAAGTGATGTTGAACAAATTTTCGTGTGCCTGTTAGTTATTTGTATATCTTCTTTAGAAAAGTGTCTATTTAGCGCCTGTGCTCACTTTTTTTTAAAAGATTTATTTATGCATACAAGAACTGGGGTACAGGCCAGAGGTGCAGAGGGTGAGAGAATTCACAGAGCGGGGAGCAGAACAGGCAAAATGACTGAAATACACTGCTGAAGGGAGCAGCGGACAGGTCAGGAGAGGTCTGCTGTGCCAAGTGGGTGAGCAACCTGGCCGGGAATCAAACTGGTGCTTCAATGGCTCTGGTTAGCTTTATAACACTGTGCTTTGACCCACTGTGCCACCAAGGAGGGCCCATTTGCTTACTTTTGAATCTTATTTTTCTGTTGTTGAGTTGTGTTCAGTTTTCATGTATGTTGGGTATTAGCCCCTGGTCAGTTGTATGACATGGAGTTATTTTCTCTCATTCAGGAGGATGTTTTTTCATTTTAACGATAACTTCATTTGATGTAGTCCCATTTTTTAATTTTTGCTTTTTTCCACCTTGCCCTCGGAGGAAATCCCAAAGACATGATTAAAGTCAATATAAATATTGCCCATTTTCTTCTCTGCATTTTATGGTTTCCAGTCATACATACAAATCTTTAATCCACTTATTTGAGTTCATTTTGGTATGGTGTGAGTGGTCTGGTTTCTTGTTGTTTTTCTTTTGCATACAACAACCCACTTTTCTCAATACTGTTTGCTGAAGAGACTTTATTTACTCCATAATAGTAACTACCCATAAAGTGTGGGTTTATTTTTAGGTCTAGGTTCTCAATTCTATTCCTTTGGTCTGCATGTCTATTTTTATTCCAAAGCCATATTGTTTTGACTACTATAGCTCCATAGCATAATTTGAACTCTGGAAGTATAATAGTTCCATTCCTCTTTTTGATCAAGATGGCTTTGGCTACTCAGGGTATTTTGTGTTTGAATACAAAATTCAGTGATGTTTGAAGACCTAACATTTGACATAACTCACAATACAAGAGGGTTATTGTAAGGCCTTTTAAAATTAAGTCACTTATTCTTCATAAGAACCCTTTGAAGTAGCTGTGAGTTAGTTCTCACCCATTTAACCAAAAAGACACAATGAGAATAAATAGTCATACAGCAAGAATGAAGCTAGGGTTCAAATTCAATCCACCAATAATAAAATATATTCCTTTAGAATACACTATTTCTTAAAAATGCAAACAAACAAAAAAAAACAGAAAATGACTAGCCATTCAGAAAAGGTACAGATGGTTCCACAAACCATCATTAATCTGCTAATAACAACATCACTAAAATTTCTGACCAAAATCAATAAAAATATAACACAGTATATCCCCCTTTTCAGAAAAATTTATGTAACATATTAGTAAATCTATATTCAAAATAGTCAAACTAAAAAAATAAAATGTAATATAAGCATCGTTTATAACTGGAATATTCATTTATAACAATACCTTTTTTAATTATAGCTTTTCATAGTAAATAGTTTCCATACATATGAATGCACTATTATGATACCTATGCTAGACTTATAAAGTTTGTATGAACTTTATAAATATGCCATATTTTTAGGAGGTGCTATATAAATAAGCATGATTGTCAATTTACTACTATAAATGATCTAACATATTTCAAAGATTACAGCAATAAAATGAACCTTGCAGAGAAATAAAAATACTGCAATAAACTATCCTTTAAGAGAAGGGTGGAAATGGAATTGGAAAAGATATATAAGGAAATCAATGGTTTTGTAATTATGTCTTTTTTTAAAAAAGTGGCAAATACTTTAAAATGTTGAGATCTGAGCTGATAGGCACCTTAGTGCTCTATTTCCCTCTGTTTTTTTATGGTATGCTCAAAACAGTCCATACTAAAAGTCAATCAATTAAATCAAAGAAATTTTTAATTCCTATTCTAGGACACACACACAAAAATGAATTTAAGTTAATTTTGACCTGCTAAGTCTTTTTCAGTTTTGGAACAATTTGTGCTACAGTTCAAACTGTGAGTTTTTATTCTTTGAAAAGGAATTTCTCCTTTTCTATATATTACATAAACAAAAAGACCTATCAGTAATACTAATCTTACTTAGCTATCAATTTAAGTATAAGCTTAGCTTTGTAAAATATACAGAGAATAAAAGCAATCAAGGAAACTGTCATATAACACAATTATCAATCGTACCATTAATCAAACATGTTTATATAATATAAAAAAGTTATGTTTGTGCTTCTGCCATTTTACCACTGAGATTCTCTCACTGGTTCATCAGTTAACTCTTCTGTTCTCCCACCACCATCTAGTGGCAAACATGGGCAACTGCAAACTAAACTGAGCCCCCATCCTCTTGCCCCCAACCTTTCCCATCTTCTAGCAACAGAGCACAAAGTAGGACTGAAAAGTATGGTTTACATTCATGCAGGGGAACATTATAGATTTCTCTTACTTGGCACACACTGTCCGTTTCATTAAGTTTCTGGCAATGTCTTCAGAGGGAATGTTAAGAATCCAAAAAGGAGACTGGAACAAATAATAGACAACTTCTAAGTAGCTTTATGACTACATATGCTTTTATGTACATCAAAAGAGTGACCCCTATTTGCTACTTTGATGTAGAATATCTGATTTAAATCTAATCAAAATAGTAATTGTTACAAGGGTATAAAAAATTAAACTATTTTAATAGGTAACGTGATAGGAAAATACAGTGCAACACTTTCATAAATGACTATAAATAAAATTATCAACAAACTCAGTGTCATTTAAGGCTAAATTTCCATTGTTCTCTTATGCAATTTGACCAAAAGAATTATTATTGCTAACCATTCCTTATATCTATAACAGATATATCTCTATATATCTTTTAACTTCTAAGTAATATATTTCTTTCAATGATCTTTTGTAGACCGTTGTGGCCAATTGATGGGTTGTGGAGGGGGAAGAATGATTCAGAAAAACTAAATCATTGTAGAACATCATTTTTTAAAATAATATAATAGTTGGAGTATCATTGGTTTAATTGTTATACAATCTACCCTTATTTTTTTATAATAGAAGGAGAAAAAGCTCCAGGTGCATCAGGGAGTTCTCCAACCCTTTGTCCCAACACCCAGGATAGCAGGCACTTTTAAACTCCACCCATAAAGGACCTAATCTCAGTTCATCACCCTTTCCCAATTATATCCACCTTCCTTCAATAAGTGAAACTCAAAAAAGCACAAATCCAAAACAAGGGGATTTTCAACTGATTCATCTTTTGCAAGAAATCGTCCTTCCTATACGAAGCTTTCTTCTTCCAATATTTATACTTTTCTACAGAAAATTTCAAAATAATCCAAACAGAAAAACAAGGTCATCTTAATATTAACTTTATTGGGAAAAATTAATGAGTTCTTTTATTTTGCAAACTTTTCTAATACACTGATAAACCATTAATACAATGTGGAAAGTTCATAAACTCACAATCTTATATATGCACAATTTTAAATTTTAAAATATAACCCTGAAATTCTGCTAAGTTGTAAATTATAATTCTAATCATATTACCAAAAGATTTCTCTTTTCAAGGAAGGGATAGACACAAATTGTGGTATAACTGTTGAATTAAAAATTCTAAACGAATACCCCTAAAGGAAATAAATCTAACTTTTCAAAACTAAGTTTATTTCCAAAATAGAATTTTTCTTTAATTTCCCCTAGAAACAGATACAACCACACAAATATGAATTTAAGATTTCCAGTTCATTTCTTCAAATCTATTGATAAGTAACTACATATGGCCTACCAAAAAACCAGAAATTCAACTTACCTTTCCATACGTTTCCTGACTATTTGTGAACTGCCCTCCAAAAAGTGAAAGCAGAGACTTTATTTCCTATAGTGAAAATAGTATAGGAAAAAAAAAAATACATTTTAACAATAGGGAACTTGAAGTCTATTAACTGATACAGGCATAACATAATTTTTTAAAAAAGAAGAGCGGGCCGATGCACTCCTGAGCACTTACATGCAACATCAAATAAATCAAAATTCTGGGTTATGGGAAAATTTTATAATTGCAACAACATAAGTAATTTCTGAAAAATTTCAAACAGGAGAGATGCCAAAACTTGATTTAAAAAACTATTGATTTTTAAAAAGGAAGATTACTAAAACAATCAATTAGTAACCCTGACAATAAAATAATTAAACAGACAATTTGAGGTGTTGAGAAAATAGTTAATTAGAAAGCATCACTATGGATTCATTGGGCACAAGTTTGATGAGTTACTCTTCTTCCTGGTAAAGTTGCAGAACTAGAAAAAACATAATAGCCACTTTAAAAACCTTGTGTATGCAAAGCTGAGATCTGTTCATGTAGTGTGTATATTCTATGAATCAATTAGTTTGTATTACTAAGCACAAGATGCCTACACATTTTAGGAATGTACTACTAACAAAATGCGCCTCTTGGAAAAACACAGTACTCCACTCCTTCATGTAGGTGTTTTAGAGGAAGTAACCTAAGGAGAGCTCAGTGTCCCAAGGCTGGGTGGCCACAAGCCCCTTTAAGCTCCCAACTGGGAGAGGAGCTTTTAACACTAAACCTTTTGTGAACCACAACTGCCTGGTGTAAGCCAGGAGAGTCCTCCACTTCAGCCTTAAAAAGAATGGAAGGTTTGATGCATCAATATTTTCTCTGTTTTTTATTTTGTCTACACAACAAATCATTCTTTTTTTTAATTTCTGGTATTATAAGGGACTGAATTCTGTTAAATTATATGAAGAAAATAGAAACTAGCAAACACTTATCAGTAAATCACCTGATGGAGCCCAAAAGTCATTCTGCAAAACAGATGACACAAATCTAAATAAGAGGCATCAGTAGAGCTGGGAACCAGAGGCCATGGTTTGATTTTCAGTTCTTCCGAAGAGTAGCTAATTGGTTTTACACAACAAATTTAACTGCTTCCACTCTCAGTTCCAGCACCTTTGATACAGGAATCCTAATGACCTCATAAGATCAGTAGAGAGGCACAGAATCTGGTCTGTTCTAAAGCGGATCAAAAGGCTGCCCACAACACTGTCCTTGAAATCCAGTAGCTCAAGAAAGCCAGACTGACAGAGAAATAATATGGAGAAGAAAAAACAGTTATAGACTACTTAAGTCTGGAGTGAGCATTATTTATCCCACTTTAAAACATTGTGAAATCAGCTCTACATTTGAAACACCGGTTTGCTTATTCTGGAATACAGTGTTAAAAATCAGCAACTAGCTAAAACACAAGGCCCAGAGTTTAAAATAAAAGTGAAGAATTACTGGAAGTTGTATGCCATACCATTAATTTCATTATCCAAAATTTAAGCAGTGACTTAGAATTGCAAGTAAATATGACAGCCCAAGTTTCAAATTTTTAAGCTAAGTATCAATCTACTTGGGAAAGGCAAAACACAACAGTTATTATATCTTATGGCAGATTTACTTTTGAGAATCTTTTTATATTAGGAACAAGAAAAATACACTGGATGCTGGATATTAAAATGTGACGCGGTCTGAGACATGCCTGAAGCATTAACATGCATAAGTTTTTCAATACTTTAGCCATTTATGTTTTCATCCACTCAATTTACTTCAGAACAACAATAAAATTTAAGTGTGTGAACTTTTAGTACCATCAGGTAGCTATCAACTAAAATTTACCCTAATTAACGCTACAGAAGTAAAAGCAGACCACGCATATATTCCTAATATCTCATTTTAATTCATAAAAGGCAGCTACTCTACTAGTTACAGCTTTCTTGTCTAGCAGATCGTATAAAACTATTGACAATCGCTGAGTTGCCCTGTCCCAGGGGATACTATTGTACTTACTTTAACATTGATTAAACAATTAATGTTTAATGTTATGATTTATGTAAAGAAAATATGTATTTATCCTCAGGGCGTTTAAGGTCTCTTAAAATTAACAAAATATTTAACCTAGTAACTGAAGTATGAAGTGTGAAACAGTAAGTGCTGTTTAAGAAGTAAAATCATCTTTTTCTATAAAAGACACAGACCTACGTCTCTTGTACTTCTTAGCCTAGAGCAATAAAAGAATGTCCAAGAGTAAGCTTCTTCCTTCTCTCCTCAGATAACGTGCATTCTCTAATATTTCAGCAAGGAATTAAAGAAACTAATAATATTGAGTACCAAAAAGATGCATTGTTTCATCCAGGTTAAGCTGAGGAATTCCCATATGATAATGTATGAGGTGAGACACTGCAAACATAAAGACATTAATGTGAAAATCAGATCAAAATGAAAAATAAGAATGCAATGATTTGGGTATGTGTATTCCAAAAGGGAAGCTTTAAAGTCAATGTAAGAATGTTTTAAATTTAGATTTAGATTCATCTGGCTTAAAAGCTCCACAACCGCAATAATATTTAGCCTGGGAAATAGTATTCTATTATAAAGTGGTGTTTAATATAACCACAAGGAGGAAAAGAAAAAAATAGTAAAATCAGGGCCCTCCTGATGGCACAGCAGGTTAAAGCACAGCACTAAGAAGCTAAAGCCACTTCAGCATGAGTTTGATCCCTGCCCTAAAGGTAACCCACATGGCTCAGCAGACCTCTCCTGATCCACCCGCTGCTCCCCTCAGCAGTGGACTTCCACAGTCGGCCTGTTCTGCTCCCCATTCTGTCTCTGGTGAATCCTCTCACCACCTCTGCAGCTCTGGCCTGTACCCCAGTTCTGTATGCATAAATAAATAAAATCCCTTTTTAAAAAAAAAAGAAAATTTAAAAAGTGTATTGAATTTTAAGGCGGGAAAGATTAGTTCAGTTTCAGAAATTTCAATGAAAACTGACAAGCCCAAAAGTACAGGAAACACCTATACAGATGAGAGGGCTTCCACTTCCAGTGATAGCAAAGTAGGCAATTCAGATTAAGCCTTCTGTTGAGAACTAGAAAAATCTGACATGTGCTGGAAAACATAAGCAAGTTCAAAAATTACCCAGCCAGGATCTGCAATGGACAGATCCCAAGGTGCACTCACTTGTTCTTTAGAACATTTACCAATCCCTAAAGCAGCTGTGAGGTGGATATCCTTCTGACAGCTTAATGAGCAAGAGGGGCAAAGAGTGTATTAATTACTTACAGTCACTGACAGGCTTGGAGGAGCTACCACAGTTTCTTGCCTATCTCAACTTTGATCAACTTACCTAGAATTATTGGTTTCTCATCAATGTTGTAACAAAACCACCTTATTTTGTTGTGTCATTTTAGGGTGCCCATGGGGAAGAAAGAAGACCTGACACACCATCTGTTTAGAAAGGGATCTCAAAATGTGAAAAACCCAAAGGGTAAGGGTAAATCAGTACAGAAACAACTTACTGACTGAAAATGAATTCAAGTGATTCGAAATGTTAGTGTTCTCATGTGCTCCTGTCTTATAGAGGATTTATTTTACATCACCCTTCTGCAAATATGAAAACACAACACCCAGCACATGTATTTAAAAAAACCAACACACACCCAAGGGAACAAAGCAAAAATATACAATAGAAATGGACTCACATACTTTCATTTTAACATATCCGCTTTATATATTTAAGGGGAAAAACAAAATTAATCTAGGCATGGTATAAAGAAACAAAAGAAAAGGAAATTGTAGATCTGAAAAAGAATCAGGTAAAAAACAAAAGTTAACAAGTAAATATGTGTGTAAAATCTAAATGAAAACTGACTACATAAAAATCAATAAATTAAAGGGTGAGTTAAGAAAGACCCAAACCAGAGAAAAGGTAGCACAGAAAGCAAAGGCCAAAGCAGGACAACACAGGTCACTGCTTAGGGAATGTTAGAAGAGTCAGTGTGACCGGTTAGGCTAGAGGGAAAAGTGGGAGCAGACAGCATGGTACACTGCCAAGCCTTGAGTGCCAGAATAAGGAGGATCTACAGTGAAACAGCGCTGAACTTTGGGGCTTACGCCACAACACTAGGGCACTAGGGTAACAGGCTGAGGAAGAATTCAAGAAGGAAGAACCGGGAGAAATCATCAAGTACTAGGGATATTATGCAAAGACTCCCAAATATTTATTACAAGTTCAGATGGCTCTATCATGCTATACGCATATTCATGTATTTACTGCCTCCTGGTCATCTCTACATAATGTGATATTACATCAAATTCAACATAACCAAAATTTAAATCTTACATTTACCTGGGTTCTCTATTTTAAAGCGGAAACTCCACTCCAGGAGTCATCCTTGACTGATTTCTGTCACATTCAACCAGTCAATGATGATTTTACTGTCTAAAGTTTTTCCACTCTACCCAATCCTCATATCCCTTTTCTTCAGTTAAGGCCTCCTTTGTCTAATAACCTGACTCTTTACAGCAGACTCCTTACTATCTGACTACAGAGTTCCTCACCTTATGTCAGGGTTACCTACGAATCTTACATCTTAAGCTGAAATGTCAGCAGGGAGCAGCAGATAACTGCCACCGCCCACCATCAGGGCAGAGTATCTTACTGCGCTTTGTACTGAACGGGTATCACTTTCACACTATTATGAAGTCAAAAAATCCTAAGTGGAAACTAAGTATAGTCTTACTCCTCTCAAATCCACATTGCTGCTTTTTTGTTTGTTTGTTTGCTGGTAACTTAAACCTCTTCAAATAACTTTCAAGATCCAGGTATTCAAGGTTTTGCAAACGGAACTCGTATCTACCTCTTCCTGGGCTCTTCTTATAAATCTAATGCTACGCAAATTGGTAATCCGTTAATAATGAGGAGCTAATTCTAATACTAGTAATTGGAATTTACTTACTTCTTTCCATGGTCTGGCTAACTCCTGCTAAACCTTTATGTTACAGTTCAAGTAACTATCTATCACCCGAAGTTCAGAACCTCACAGAAGCCAGAGTAATGGCCAATATCCTCCACTCATCAAGCAGACTAGATTATCCTTGCAACTACTCTCCTTTCCCTGCACATCTTTCTTTAGCTATTCTTACCAACGTTATTTCACAATGCTACCTTTCTGTATATGCTCAAGCCTTAGCCTGCACAGTGCGCTCCCTCAGGAAACAGTTCTTTTATCTCCAGCGTCCTTCACATTCGAGAATAGTTGTACTAAAAATGTCTACTTAATGAAACAACAGTTTCCAGCTTTCCCCTTCTCCTACCACCACCACTTGGAAAAAGGACAAGTCATTTTCACCTGCCTGACTCCGGCACCTGGTTCGCGGGCAGAGGAGCTAATGAACACACTTGGCGAGGTAGACGTCTGTCTGGGACTCAAACACACCCTCCGCCCAACCCCAAACCAGTGCCAGGGGAGCGCGCGATAACCCCGACATGCGCAGACCCTTGCACCCCGGCGAGCTCGCGTCCCGCACTCGCCTTCACCCGCACACGGCTCCCTGATGCGCCCTCTTCTCCCGCGTGAGGTCAGGGAAGGCGTGGCTGGCTCACCGGCAGGCGGAACTCCAGGTGCTCCTGCGCCATGAGCAGCAGATACCTGTTCAGTGGGGAAGGCAGCGCCATGGTAGCTGCCCACGATGCGCCTGCGCGCCGCACACGGTGCACCACCCCGTCTGGCCCCTCGGAGTCGTTTCCGTTGAGGCGGAACCTGAAGGGCCGGAAACGGAAGCGCGGGAAGGGGGCACAGCGGGCATTGCTCTCTGGTGCTCTGTACGTGGCCAGGTGCTCTGTACGTGGCCAGGTGCTCTGTAGGAGATCCCGGAATGTGTTGTGTCTGTGATGGGCTGCGTTTTGAGGTTGTGCTAATTGAATGGAGTGCCCAGGTACCTTTCCCACTATACGTGCACTTCCAAGTTGCTCTATAGCTCTTCAGATCCTAGATCCTCACACCTGGACTAAAATGTATCTTTTTCCATGCAGACCTCTAGCCACTTTGGGTTTTAGAATGACTCACCTGGGCCATTCATTCAACATTTGGTATATTTGCAGTAAGTTTTTAAGGGTACCTGCCATATAAGTGAATTGGGAAAACTAGAGTACCGAGATTATCACCGTTTCACAGAAACCGAAACAGTTCTCTCTTTAGCGCAAGTACCAAATTATTAGATTGTTGCATCTGTTAAATTCACAGAACCAGTCCTCTATTTAACATAAATTTGTTTTTTTAACACAATATAGTAAACAAATTATCACAGCAACATATAAGTTACTTCTAAATTGTACACATTGGCATAGATTTCACTATTTTGTATATATAGTTGTTACTTTTGGGAATACGCAGTTCTTGGAACTATTAGACCTATTTTTCATTCCACTGCAGTACTGCTCAGAAAACAAGCGAAGGTAACCAACATGTTGGGAATATCATAGTCCAAGAACATAGTTGATGCTTAATAGTAACGATTTAAGTGTCTGTTTGTTTCAAACCTCAATTCCATTATTTACCTGTGTATGTACTTGATCAAATTTCTTAGCCTAAGTTTTCTTATCTAAAAATGTAATAATACTGCATCACTGAAGGGATTGTTACAAGGATTAAATAATGTACATAAAGTTTAATGAAACACTTGGGTTATGGTGGGAGGCCAATAAATGGCATTTAAGGATATTGTCCTTAAAAAGAGCATGTGTAGGTTCCTCTTAGCCAGCAATCTGTCACTTTTAGAAAAATGTCTTTAATTCACTGGAGGCAAGTGAACTACTGAGGTGAACAGGTATCTGGGCCCTACGGCTTTAGAGAAAGGGATAAAAGTGCTAATTGAGACAAGTAAAGGTCATTAGATTCTCTGAAGAGTGCCAAGGTGGTACACAGAACCAATGAAGTACGAGGATGTACAGTGTTTGATATGTCACATCCCTAAACATCAGAATTAACAAACAGGTGAGAATTTGATGGGTCAGCACTTTAGGGGACACCAAAGAAGAGCTGATATTCATGCCTAGAATAATAAAATGCTGTGTAGAAGGAGCAATTGAGAATACAGGGCCTAGGAGAACCTGGGTGGAGCAAAGCTTTATTGATTTTTCACATGGGATCTTGAAACTAATGTTTAAAACTAATTTCCCCACTATCTACAAAAAACAGCACAGTTTTAATCATAATTGCCAAAACTTGGAAACAACCCAGATATATTCTAATAGGTGAATGAATAATCTGTGATATATCCAGACAATGGGTTATCTGATGATAAAAAAAAAAGATGAACTAGAAGTCACTAAAAAGACATGGAGGAGACTGAAATACCTACAACTGAGTGTAAGAAACCAATCTAAAAAGCTGCATGTAATAATACTCCAACTACATGACAATCAGGATAGGGTAAGATCTGCACATAGTATAAAAATCGGGGTTTAAGGGGTTAGAGGCAGAGGGGCAAAAAGGCAGACCACACAGGGTTTTTAAGGCAATGAAAAAACTGAGTGATAGGCAATTATTACATGAGATAAAATGTATAATACCAAGAGTGAACCCTAAAATAACAACAGGTTCTGGTGATTATGTCAATATAGGTTCATCAAGTATAATGGAAGCACCACACTGTTAGGGGATGTTGATAATAGTAGAGGCTACCCATGTTTTGCACTAAAGGGTGTACAGAAAATATCTGTACCTTACTTTAAATTTTGCTGTGAGCCTAAAACGTATCTTAAAAAGAAAAGTCTTAAAAAATAAATCAAAAGGCAAAATTTGAACAGTTTTCCATATTTATTTAGCTTTTTACACAAGTACAATTTGAAATAGCTCTCTCAATTGTACAATTCTGCAATTACAAATAGCATCATAACATTCATAGTGTTCTCAATACTACATTAAACATTTTAAGGTTCTAAATTAGCTTTTTGTTGAGTTGATGTTATATATAGCTTCAGAGTTAGTAAATACTTAATTACTGATAAGACAGTGAATTTTAATTGTAACTTCACTGTTAACATTTTATAAAAAGTCACTAAAAATGTAAGGTCTAATTGTTTTCCAGCAAAGAAAAATTTACTGTGTGAGGGCATAAACTTATATATAAATTAAGTAAATTGGCTAATTTCATTTTTGAAGAGCTCTGTAAGGCATCACAGAATTCCTTAAATACCTCATATTGTCATCATAGTAGTGTCAATTACATCCCTACAAGTTCACATAATACAACATGTTAAAATTTTCTGAAGCTGGCCATTATTTTAACTGATTCACAGAAACTTTAATTGCTATTCTACAATTGCTTGGTAAACTACTTAACTATCAAATGCATAAAAACTTCTAAGCTAATTTTGAGAGCCCTTTACTATCCCAAATTCCTCTTGCCACCTCTAGTAAATGGACTTCCTGTTGCAAACAATAGAAACAAAATTCAAAAAAAAAAAAAATGTGGGTTTCTTGACTACACTTCCATTGTCTGCCTACCAAATAATAAGCCTTGAATAAAATTCTATTGCCATTCTCAAAGAACTTCCCACTCCACAACCCTTCGGAGGATATTATATTGCTGAACACATTAAATGTAATCACTAGTTCTGTAAGATCCTTGTACTAGCAAATGAAAAACTGTCCTTTCTTACTTCAGTATTTCCTAACTTTGGCAGAGGTTTGTAGACTTTAAATGTTCAGCAAATGATTTCTGAATGAATAAATGAACAAATGAAATCATATTTATTCCAGTCGTGAAAGCCGGCATCTGAGATCTCAGCAAAAAATGATACATCTAGAATTCTTTCCATCAATAAGATCAGAGATCACTATATAGTAAACAGTAGTATACAGTATATAGTACTCTTTATCTTAAAATTTTATGTGCAAAATCATAAACTATTTTATGTTTATCCTTTATAATAAAAGCTTCAGCAAGATACTTTATATAATTAATTCTTCATGAATAAATCATTATTATAATTACCTACATACTAAGAAATAAAAATATTTGAACTTAAAAAAAAAATACAGAGCCCTTCTTGATGTACAGAATTTGTTTTAATGGGATTTTTCTATAGAATCTTATACCCTAGACAAAAAACCATGAAGACACAGAAGTCAATGACAGTGAATTCATGTAACTGTATTACAGATTTCAGGAAACAGACATTCAGAAAAGATTTAAGGCTACCACTAATAACTTTTTATAAAACCCAACAAAACTTATAATTAGACTTCCAAGAAAGCAAATATTAGTTTATGTTGAGCCAAGTTTAGGAAAATCTTCCACTTGTGGACATTTTCATGTTCTTAGTTTTTCAATCAAATGATCAACCTGTAATATTAAAAAAAATTCTAAATATCATAGCCTGTATCAAATAACTCTAGCCTGTATCCCTACTGTAACAGGTTACAACACAAGAGCTAGATATTGCATACTCTGTTCCTTAAAATATCTTACAAAAAAATCTTGATATGATAGTTTTAAAGACTATCATAAAGGCATTCCACATAGCATATAAACATATAATTTTATCCACATATTCATTTGAAAGTTTCAATAAGGAAGAAAAAAATCTTAAAAGTGAAATGGAGGAAAATTAAGTGCATACTACTAAGTAAAAGAAGTCAATCTGAAAAGACTACATACTGTATAACCCCAAGTATAAGATACTTTGTAAAAGGCAAAACTGTAGAATCATCAAAAATATCAGTGGTTACCACAGACTAAAGGGAGTAAAATATATGAATACTATTCTATATGATACTATACTTTTAAATATATGTCATCATATATTTCTCAAAACACACAGAATATATGATACAGAAATTTCAGTTAAAGTGAACCCCAAAGATAAACCAATGAATGTGGGTAATGATGGTAGGTCATTATAGTTTCATGGGTTTTAACAATGTATTCTTCTGCTATAGGATGTTGATAATTGAGAGTTATAACTGCCTACTATTGCCAAGAAAAGAAGAACTATAGCAAAAATGAAAAATATCTTAAATATATACACATTCTGCTGGCATAACAATAACACTTACTGTAATAAACCAATAGGAGTTCATTCTATAAACCAATCTTGATACAAAGCCCAGCTGATCTGCTGGTGCCAGAACATGAAGATGCAAGTGGGAAATAGAACAGAAAGGTGGCAGGTGGAAGCCCATTCTAAAATAGAAAGACATGAGATCACTGAGAAGGTAGTTTTATAACGAGGCCGTTGAAACATACTCAAAATATATAGCCTATGATTGCCATTCATATATGTATTTCATTGTTTGTTTAAATACACCAAAGTATTCACACATTCCCTCTTCTAGTCATATTAAAGTTCACAGTAACACAATCTCCTCAAGGAAGAGCTTGATAGCATATTATATGTTAATATAACCTTCCTGAATTTGAGTGGACATATGTGTCATCACTCCAATCCTTATATTAATTTTCTTCAACAGATCTATTAGAGGCAACATTTCTTTATTACAAACACAGCCAGCAGATGGCAAGCTTTCTCCTTTAATAAAGAGAATGGTTATTTCCTTGTCAACCACAATTTCAGCAGTGATATTAATCACATTTTAAGAAATTATCAACATTAATTTTCTTGTTTAATAATGAAAATAGATTATAACTTCATATTTTTATAAAATAACTATATGGAATTCCTTTAAATAGTAAAAAAACCAAAAAAATTTAATATGATTTAAAAATCATATTACAGTTTACAGGCCCTCCCTGGTGGCACATTGGGTTAAAGCATAACACTGCAAAGCCAGCAGCAGCTGCATCAGCCCAAGTTCGATTCCCAGCCAGGGAGGTGACCTACATGGTGCAGCAGACTTCTGTCTCATCCACTGTTCCCCTCAGCAGTGTACTTAGTAGATCTGCCTGTTCTCTGTCTTAGTAGATCTCCCCACTCTGTCTCTGGTGAATCCTCTCACCACCCCTGAACCTCTGGCCTGTTCTGTATCCACAAATAAATAAATCTTACCCCAGTTCTCTATGCATAAATAAATCTTAAAAAAATTAAAATGTAGACAATTGACAAATGAAATATTGTGTGCTTTTGCTCAAATTCTGAGCAAACTCTTTTGTAAGTCTATGTATGTTGAGCAGAGGAAAGCATACCTATAACAACAATCTAAACTTAAAATAATTGCCTGATCAAAGTAGAAGTGGTTGGGAGTGTGGGAAGAAGGCCAGAAGTACTATATGGCAGCAATGATTCCCTGGGACTGACAATTATGGAGACAGGTATGCAGCACATACTGAAAAGCTTCCATTGCTAACTAGAAAAGGAAACTAGGTTTCCCTTGGTGAAACAGGATTAATATAATGTAGTACAAAGTAATTCAAAATCAAGAAGCATCTCAAGTAGTCATTCAATCATTTCATTGTAAAGATAGAGAAGTGAAAATCCAAAAACTTTATGGCACTCAAGGTCACAAAGTTAGGCAGATGTAAAGCTAGGATTGAGAGTCAGGGTTCATTTTTCTAGTAAGCACTCATATGACTAGGAAGGTGTTGCTGCTTTTGACCAAAGTCTCAAATAGCATCTTTGCCATTTTATTATCACCCTTGAAGAATGCTTTTAAACAGTTTTCATACGAATTCACATATATAATCTCATTTGAGCCTACATGATTGAGTAAATTTTATAGAGGTTAGTGACTTGTCTAAAGTAACTCAGTCAGTATAAGTACACAGCAAACTGTACTGATAGCATTAGATTCAGGTCTTTTCTGAATTCTGCTGGGAATTTTAGAAGCAATCTCTATTATAATTGCCTTCCTTGGTCACACAAAACAAAGTCAAATATCTTTTGAAAAGAAAAAAACAACTTTTTTCTGATTAATTCAAACAACTGACAAATGGATTATTATGTGCTTTTGCTCAAACTTTGGGGAATGCCTAAGTTCAGTTATCTACAAGTACACTTTTAATCATATAAAATAACATTTTTTTCTAAGGGAATTCTATTTGGGGGGGGCAACAATTTTATAGGGATGCATATATCGGACAAAGAAAGTTAACTCCAGACTACTTTAACCTACCAATTGCTTGGACATATTCGTCCAGACCTAGTGGTGATTAACAGAAGATGTTGAGACATGAGAGAAAGTTTTATTTACTAAATTTATACTCCCAAAGAACTGTATGCTTACTTCAGGAAAAGTACATTTAAACCATGACCTTTGCCATCTCTGGATCTATATTCCATGAGGAAATAACATCTCAAAAGAACCAGCAAATTGCACATACCTCACATTTTCAAAGTTGGTGAAATTATTCTTTTCAAGAATGGTTTTTCCAACAGTTACCATGTCCTCAACTGTAAAACAAGAAATTACACAGTACTATGAGACATCCATTTAATACATTTCTATTAACTCTACTTTTTAGGGTCCTAAAAAACAAAAGCTGTATCAATGGGTAAATATTTAAATACTCATTGATAGCTCTAAGTTACTGAGATATTTGCTTCTCAAAACTGAAATAAATGTTCAAATAAGTCCTATTAAAACATCATACCACAAAATACCACACACAGGTTGGTTTGAACAGCTGCTGAGGGCGACATGAAGTGACTCTTGAGGACATCTACTCCAAAGAGACTAAGTAATTAAACAGAAATTGTTTCAATTAAACAGAAAGGACAAGTCTGAATTTGTTTTTGAGTTCAAATTGCTGCTGGCCTTGAGTAGCTAAACATTTGTTAATAGTACTGGCTTCCAAACTCCATCTGCGGTAGCATCTTTCTTGTCTCACTGCTTTGCAGCTGTCAAATGGGAATATGCCTCTCCATTAAAAAAAAAATTGTGTAGGCCCTCCCTGGTGGCGCAGCGGGTTAAAGCACTGCACTGAGAATCTAAAGCCACTTCCACATGAGTTCGATTCCCGCCTGCCCCGGAGGTGACCACATGGCGTGGCAGACCTCTCCTGACCCGCCCGCTGCTCCCCTCAGCAGTGTACTTCGTCAATCTGCCTGTTCTGCTCCCCACTCTGTCTCTGGTGAAGCCTCTCATCGCCCCTGAGCCTCTGGCCTGTACCCCAGTTCTGTATGTACAAATAAATAAATCTTAAAAAAAAAAAATTGTGTAAATTGTAGTCTTCAAAGCACAAAAGTCAAACACTAAGCATCTATGTTTCTGAATGTTGTAACCATGTGTTTGAAAGGGGGGGGAGTGATAAAAATCTAGAGAATTGTTATAATGAGGTTTATAAAAGGCTACTGACTGATATTCACTTCTCTAAGACAGCTTGAGCTGGTAAGAGAGCAGACAAGAATAGCAAGCCAATGCTATCGCTTAAAAATAAAAACAAAAAACATATAACTTGCAAGACAGTTAAAGTCAGAAAAGTAGTAATTTTAAACAATTTTAACAATATTATGAATTATAACATACAGGTGCAATATGCATGACAACAACAAAGCGTTCTAATGTCTCACATTTTCTATGAAGCAATACAATAATTAAATGTATGCTATAATAATTGCAAGGTATGCACTGTAATCTCTAGAAAAACCACTACAAAAAGGAATATAACAAGGAAGAAGCCAACAAATAAGCTAAAGTAAAATACAAAATATATATATGTGTATATATATATATATATATATATATATACACACACACATAAAAGAAGAGAGCAAATGGCAAAATGGTAAGCCTAACATCACCTATACCAAGTCACCTTAAATGTTACAGTAGCTATTTAAACACTTGAAAGATTTTCATACTGCTTAAGGGGTTAAGGGGGAAAGCAAGAAAGATTCAATTACATGTCATCTTCAAGTGCTTAAATATAAATATTCACTTTAATTGGAAGTAAAGGACAGAAAAGATATCCAGTACAAACAAGTAGTAGTAAGAAATCTGGAGAGATTATCACAAAACATAGATTCAAAAAATTTCCACATACAGAGTTTATAACACTAAAAACGGAACATTTAATTGAGAAGATACAACATCTTCTCAATGGAATCTATGAAAAAAGATTAGCCACGAGTTAATGAAGTTGGGTGAACACAAGGAAACTTAACAAAAGATCAAAATATATAAAGCAAAATCTACTGTCTCTGTTTCATTGATATCTACTTTTTATATATTGTTATTTATACTTATTTAGGCCTGATCTGTTCACTTAAGTCTTAAACCCTAATATAAGCTTTTTTCCCCCAAAGACTTACTTATATGCATATAAGAACTGGGGGTTAAACAAGAGGTGCAGATGGGGCTGAGACAATTCATCAGAGACAGTGTGGGGAGCAAAACAGGCAGAACTACTGAAATACAATGCTAAGGGGTGCAGAGAGTGAGAGAGGAAAGGTCTGCAACACCATGTGGGTTAGCTCCCTGGCTGGGAATTGAACTCATTTTGATGAGACTGGTGATAGTTTGATAGCTTGATAGCATTGTGTCTTTAGCCCTCTCTAATATAAGTATTTAAGACTAATATTTCTAAGAACTGCTCCAAGCACATTTCACAAATTTTGTTATGTTGAATATTTTTTACTAATCAATTAAAAATATCATCTATGTTTGACCTATTTATTTAGCAGTAAGTGTGTTAATTTTTAGATATTTGCTATTCCATATTTTATTATTTTCTAATTTAATTCAAATGTTACTGTAGAAAACACTTTGTAAGAGTTTGACATTTAAAATACAATACAATGAGATTGATTTTATTGCCCAGAAAATGCTTTATCTTGGTGAAGCATGTGCTCTTAAAAGAATATGTTCCATTGTTAAAGGTGGTTCTATAAATCTCAATTATAGTCAAAGTGCTTGATAATATTATTGAACTCTTCTATTTGTTTATTTTCCCAGTTTTGTAGACTGTATGAAATTGTTAACTGTAAGAACTTTTAAACTTTTACTATGGAAATATTCACATATATTCAAAAATAAGAAATTCCAAATACTACTGTGCTGCTTCAAACAGTAACAGTTATAAAAAGCTTTCAATATGAAAGTAATACAAGAAAAATAAGTAAGAACACATTTCATCCTCAAAAAAAAGGAGTAAAAAAGGAAATACTCAAGGCTACAGTGGCTTTTTGGGTCCTGGACTACATATTGCATGTACACAGATCGCCATCTGCTGACAGAACCTCATGAGTAAGAAACTTCAATATTTAAATGAGAGGAAGGGCTTAAAAACTGGTAATTCAGTAGCCTGAAGAGAAATGAACTACGTATCAAGGTTTTCAAAAAAAAACCTTTACCTTCAAAAAGTCAGGCACAATCTACCTACCTTATAAGTATTAACCAAACTAAACCCAGGCCCTGATGACAGAAGCTATCAAAGTACATTTGAATTGAATTTAGAAGTATCTTGATAAGTGATGGCTGACAAGCCACCGATGTTACAAGTAGGAGCATATAGGATAATACTGTAAGAGAAGAGATTTGGAATTTCCTTTTTGGAAGCTAAAAGTTCATCACTAAAATTTCATAAACTGTGGCACTAATTCACCTACGTAAGAAACTATAAAGTGGTCAGCAATGTAATCTCATGCTATATTACAACTTATTTCTTTACAATTTTTCATTTTACCATTCATTCTATGTCAAGAAAAGATACAATTTAAAAAATCATAAAGGGGTATTATTTTTCAGAGAGTTTAAAGATTAAATAACATACTGTTTGGAATTTGCCTCAAATCCACTGAGAAAATACATGAAAAAAGAGTAGCCATGAATTATTGAAGCTGGGTAATGAATACAGGAGACTATACTACTTTACTATTTTATTTTTATATACATTTGATATTTTTTTCATAACGAAAGTTTCAAAAAATTGTAATACTTTTTCAGTATCACCTGGTTATACTGTTTTTTTTCTGATCATCATCCTTGTGACTGGCAAGGCTCTGCAAGACATAACCATGAAGAATAGTACCACCATCTTACCTAGTTTTACTTGATCTTTTCTTAGTTCTTTGCAGTTTTCAATATGCTTCTTTGGCACCACGAGATAATGATGAGGTGCTGCTGGTTTAATATCTCTAAAGCAAACTAGGTCTTCATTCTACAGGAAAAAATATATATCATTTGTTAGTGAGTTAAAAACAAATTTCCAAATGCAGTTTTTTAAAAGATTTATTTATTTATGCACACAGAACTAGAGTACAGCCAGAGGTGTGGAGGGTGAGAGGATTCGCCAGAGACAGAGTTGGGAGCAGAGCAGGCTGGGTATATATTGACATATAATGCTGCGGGGAGCAGGGGCGGGTCAGGAGAGGTCTGCTGCACCATGTAGGGCAGCTCTCTGGCTGGGGTCAAACTTTGCGGCTGTGGCTAGCTGTGTACTGTTGCGCTTTAACCCATTTGGCCCCCAGGGAGGGCGCCCAAATGCAGATCTTATATCATTTTGACATAACAAATCACAGTCTGAAGAGCATATGGTACTTATGTTAACTAAGCCCCACTTTGTGATTATGCACTAAGTTCATAAAAATAAGTTTTATCTTTCTTCATGAGTTGCTCATTTATTTCGGAGAATAAAAGGACTTCTGTAAAATTAATTTCAGGAAGACAACTATGAAGTTCAACAAAAACTTCAACAATAATTCCTCCATCTCTACCTTAAGGTTCTTTCTCTCTTATATGTACTTTCAATGTTGTGAATGCAGAATCACAGCAAAAATGAATAATTCTTTTATACATTCGCATTTTTTCCTAACTGGCATTGTCTGCAATTATAATAAAAACACCATCTAGCAACTGCATATCCAAAGTTATAAAATATTTTTACAGCATTATATCCAAATGCTTTGTCTTTATGTCTACTTGCTATTTGGTAGGATTCAAAAGACTTTGAAATACACTAACTCATTTATTTTACTACATTGTAAGCCCAATCCATTACATGTATGCGAGTAATGCGAAGAACAAAAAAAGCAAAGGAAGAAGGGAATCCTTCAACCTACTAACATTTGGCATTGTTCTTTTCAAGAACAATCTGGCCCTCCCTGGTGGTGCAAGAGATTAAAGCACAGCACAATGAAGCCATCCACAGCCATTGCAGCACAAGTTCCATCCCCAGGAGATGCACACGTGGCATGGCAGGCCTCCCCTGTCCTTCCCGCTGCTCCCTTCAGCCATGTATTTCAGTACATCTGCCTGTTCTGGTCCCCACTCTGTCTCTGGTAAATCCTCTCACCCCTGCACCTCTGGCCTGTACCCAGTTCTTGTATGCATAAATAAATAAATCTTTAATTTAAAAAGTCCTTAATCTGGGCCCTCCCTGGTGGTGCAGTGGGTTAAAGCACAGCACTAAGAAGCTAAAGCCACTTCAGCATGAGTTTGATCCCCATGCTCCCCAGAGGTGACCCACATGGTGTGGCAGACCTCTCCTGGCCCGCCCATTGCTCCCCTCAGCAGTGTACTTTGTCAGTCAGCCTGTTCTGCTCCCCGCTCTGTCTCTGGTGAACCCTCGCAGGTTCCTTCCCAAAAGTCCCCAGAATACACTATTACTCATTAGCAATCCAGTCTAGAATCAAAGATCAATTTGGAGGAGGGCCTCATATCCATGGCAGTAATCATGGTTTCGATGAAAATGCTGAAACGCCACTGTATAGATCACACATGAACTTCCTTATCAGTTAGCTCCAAGTGAGACATAGACCTCCAGTGAAACCACACTTCAGAAAATAAGACTTTGTTACTTGAAACCTCAGCAGTGGCAGGTCTGAAACAGGTGGCAGGAAAAACAAGGTAGCACGTGTCCCTTTTATTTCTCAACACTCAATAAACTACTCACAATGCAGCTTTACTGTAATACTCTTTAAATACTGGCTTCATTGCTATCCTCATATACCTCTGGCCTGAAAGCTGTTCAGAATATAACAGTCACTATGACAATCATATCAATTTTAAAGGCTCTTCTGTCTAGTAGTAACTTTAAGCATTGACATCAATGGAATGTTTCCAGCTCAGAAATCATTAGCCCTGGGTGGAGGTCAATCTATCACAACAAAATTATTAACAACTGGCCTTCCCAGATTAGTGTGTAACACCACAATAAAACAGAGTCCAACTCAAAATGCCTCCAGTACTCCCACTGGAAACAATGCCCCAAAATGGCAGCCACAGTGTTTGTTCACCTGGGATCCCGACAAATGAGACATCTTCCTGCAGTCCAAGTTCAACTAAGTTGAACAAAAAGATATTATTCAAAGACTTGTATACATTTTAAAACATATAAATTACATACTAGGTGATTAGCCTCTTTTTAAAAAGCTTAATCTTAGTGAGTGCTTGTATATCAGATCATCTAAGATGCAATTAGAAAAAGATCCCCCACTTTTTGGAGCACTATTGCACAAGCATGCATACCCTGCTTATGTTTGGTATCATATGGATTAAAGTACATATTCACCCTGTGCCCTACTTAAGGTATAAATTAGTTAGATATCATCTATATGCCCTATAAAAAATGTTCCCTGGCTCTTCATATACTTAACAAATGTCCCTAATGAAGAAGAAAAAAAACCCTAACCCATTTGCTGGGAAGAAATCTGTGAGAAAAATTTGGACTACCTTACCCCCTCTTGACAACCAATTTTAGACGCTTTCCGCAACTACTAGTATCTCTTTTTTATTAGTTTGGCAATATGAAAAATTTAAAAGCAGTTTCTAGGAACCTAGATAAGAGATAATGAACTCTACATAAGCTCACATTATCTCTCACCAGCCCATTTTATAGTAAAATAAAGAGGGAATGAAGACTCAGAATGATACAACTGCTCACCTCAGCTGAAACCAGACTTGGGCTGCCACTGGCAGGGGGGAGGGTACATTTACAGACCTGAGCAGGTTTCAAGCTGAAAGTCTCAACCTCAACTGACCCTCATCACTATACAACAGCCCATCTATGTCCCTGATCCTCTTTCCTGGCCTCCAGAGGAACTACTTCAGACTCTGACTTCAAAACAGAATGTGTTCCTTCATCTTCTCCAGGGCTTCATTTAAATGCTACCTTCTGCAAGCATTTTTTTTCTGACAAAATTTTTAAAATTACATCTTCTTCCTCTGCTATTTTTCATCACCTAGTAAACTATATGCCTTGTTTACTATGAAGCTTTTTATCTATTTCCTGTGAGGAGAAGATAAATTCCACCAGGGCAGGGATATCTGCATTTACTGCTATCTCCCAGTGTTTCCAACAGAGCCTGGCTGTTGGCACTGAAGGCACTCACTGAAAGACTGAGTGACCAATGGGTGGAATGAGTTTCATCTTTCCCAGCCACTGAGCACTACCACCCCAGGCCATTTTAGCACTCTCTCCAATCATTTCAGGATTTAAACGCACCAACATCTTCACTGTTGTAAAGATGCTTTCTCTCAATCCCCATCTCTTCCTGGAGTTATCATTCCCTTTCTCTCGAACCCAATCACCCATATTCCTTCAATAGCTGTCTGCACTTTGTCTTCACTTTTCCATTCTTATTAACTACAATCTGCCTTCTGACTCACCATTGCCCTATAATTTCTCTCGTGAAGGTTAATGACTTTCACTTTGGGATTAAAACCAGTTGAGATCTAACTTGGCTTATGTGCAAACATACAGAAAGGTCACTATCCCATGCCTGAGGATGAAGGAAGGCTGCTAATAGTGCTGACATGTCTGAAAATTTTGTTCTTCTTGTCATACCCCTTTCTTGATCTTCCAACTGTTCATTCTACTTCTCAGACCATTCCTTCTCTGTTCCCCTTTCATGTTCTTTAGAATTTGTATAGCCTCCCCTTCACTTCTTATTCTATTGCTTTCTAGGTGATGTATTAATACTAATTCCTCTCTTTTCAATTTCCACTTATAAATGTACATATCCTATGATCTGAGCCAGACATTCAGTATTCTCCAGAGTGCCAGACTACCTGACTATTTAATGGACATCTCTACTTGATGCTCACACTCAGATTCCAGAACTACAAAACTATTTGTAGTTTTTATCATTTTCTATTTCCCACCCTTCTCCTGGTCAACTCTCCTTTTCCTACATTCCTCATTTAATAAAATGACACCACTACTACCACTTTGACATTCCCCCTTTCTTTCCTCATCCTCCTAGGTTTCTCAACCTAGGCACTACTGACTAGTATAACAGTATTCAATTTCTTTCATGTAATTTCTCAACCCTTTCCTCCCAATCCAGCGTTAAATACTAGAAGCTACTCTTCATGAAAAGACAAAACTCGAACAAAAATGACAATATTTTAATAATCTCTCCCTGTTTACCGCCACAGCTTCAACTTTCACTACTCATTCCCTCAAACTCTATACTCCAGTTAAACTGAAATTCTGTCTTCCTACCGCACACACAAAACCTTTGAAGATTCTGCTTATGTCAATTTTCTCCTCCCTTATCTGGTCAATTTCTACTTATTTCTTCACATGTCACTTTTCCCCAAAAGCCTAACCCTTCAATTCTGGGTTAGCTGGCTCTCCCACAGGTTTGCAAAAACACTTAAATGATAAAAGTACCTCCCATTGCACAGGGCACTGGAACTGTCTCTGACTGTACTCATTCAAGGTCTATCAGCGACTGTCCTTTATTCTGTTCACCAGTGAATCTCCAACCCACAGTGCTCAGAAGAGATTAATTTTTAACAAGTTAAAGACAACTACGACCAAAAAAAAAAAATTTGGAGCAGATTCTCTCACAAGGTTGGTCTTGACAGGCAAGTAGAACTGGGAGAAAAAAAGTTGTTAACCAGCGATGTGCTTTAACATATCTGGCTAAAACTGTATTGCTCTGAAAGTCTGCCCAACTGTTAACACTTCCAAGCTCTGCACCCTTCCAGGGAGCTCAGCAGCTCTTAAGGAGTAGATCATTCTCAGACCCAACCTCCCAGCCTAATGTCACTCAACCTAACAAGTCTTTCCTAAGTGCCAAAGGCTGTTTTCTGTTAGTTTTTCCTCCGGAGTCAGTATTTGAGTGCACAGAATGTAAAAATAGTGTCTGAAAAGGCGCTGGCGGGGAGTGGAGGAATCAAAGGGGTGTTATGAATCCCTTTCATAAAAGCAGAGGTCATAAATGCTATTTTCTGCCAAGTCCCGCGCACCTGCCAAGAGAGGGCTAACTACCGGGCTCTATCACTACAGGGTCTGCCCGAGGAACAGCGACCACACGCTGGGGACACGCCCGCGCGCGAGCGCAGAGCGGCTCGGGCCGGAGCCCACCCAGGCCTCGGGCGCGCCGCCGCCCACCTCGCAATGCAGGAGCTCGGTGGCGGGCTCCTGCCGCGCCGCGATCCGGCAGAACACGCACTTGGCCCTGTAGTCCTCGGGCCCCGGCGACTTGGAGGCGACCTCGGCGGCGTCCGACGCCGACGTCGGAGCCTTTGCAGCCGCCGCTGACTGCGCGCCATCGCATGCCGGGGCCTCGGCCATCACGCCCGCCCTCCGCGGCCTAGCCGGGGCGGCTCCGGGACGACGCAGCCTGCGCAAGCCCGCCTCCTGCACCTCCCCGCAGCCACCTCCGCGCGTCGCCAGTCGCTAGGCGCCGGGCCCGGCAGTGAGTCGAGGACCCGCGCTGCTCCTGGCCGACGCTAGAGGGAGGGCGAACTCGGTGCTGGGAGCCCAGCCAGCAGGGGTTTCAAGCCGGCAGCCGTCGGGGGGCGCGCGCGACTGCACAAAAGGGGCGCCCGCGGGAGGAGCCGACTGCGGATTCGCCCCGCCCCGGCGTCCTTAATAAGGACGCACGACGTCCAGAGACGCTGGAGCGTACCCCGCGTGGCGCGACGTGAGAGGGCGTCCTGACTCCCCACGATCGGATCGCTCTGTGCATATGGTGCCCGCAGCCGGTGATCTGGCGAAGCCCAAGACCGCATGCGCTGAGTTTTAAAAGTCGCATAGGCTTTCCAAGTGAATAAAACTTCTAGAGCTTTGTTTGCAAACAGGCCGTGTCCGACGCCACATTGTGGGTGACTTTTCCATGATCGGTGTAGGTGCTTTTGCTATGTCCAAAACTTGATGTTAACAGCACCAGTTATATCAAGATTTCTAGTTCATTTTTTTAATTAAATATATATACTTATTTACATCATTCTTCATTTTGTGCATCTTTAAAAAAGGGTTTATTTGTGCATACAGAGCTGGGGTACAGGCCAAAGGTGCAGGGCCGGTGAGAGGATTCACCAGAGACAGAGTGGGGAGCAGAACAGGCAGATGGACGAAGTGCACTGCTGAGGGAGCAGCGGGCGGGTCAGGAGAGGTCTGCCGCCGCCATGTGAGTCATCTCCCATGTTTTTTTCCCGTCTCAGTTGTAATCCCCATGGACTTCCACCACTGATTACCCATGTGCCATCACCATAGTCCCCTGTGCTCTTCCCACCCTAGTTTTGATCCTGTTCCCCTCTCCACCCCCATAGAATGTCCCTGATTTATAGTTAGCTGTTCTTCATTTTTAACTTTATTACCACTGTTTCCCACCCCACCACCCCCCTTCCCTTATGCTCCTACTATGAATAAAACATCCGGTATTTTTTTCTTTCTGGCTTATTTCACTAAGTATGATCCCTTCCAGCTCCATCCATGTTCTTGCAAAAGACATGAATTTATCTTTTTGACTGCTGAGTAATATTCCATTGTGTATATCTATCTTGGGGTATTTGAGTTGGTTCCACACCTTCCCTATTGTAAATACAGCAGTAATAAACATAGGGGTGCAGTATCCTTTTGAATCAATGTTTTTTTTTAAGATTTATTTATTTGTATATACAGAAATGGGGTACAAGCCAGAGGTGCAAGGGCAATGAGAGGACTCACCAGAAACAGAGTGGGGAGCAGAACAGGCATATCGTAGAAGAACACTGCAGAGGGGAGCAGCAAGTGAGGCTGGAGAGGTCTGCTGTGCCAAGTGGGTCACCTCTGGGGCAGGGATTGAACTCCCAGTAAAGTAGCCACTGCTTGGCTTCACAGTGCAGTGCTCCACCAGCTGTGCCACCAAGGAGGGCCTCGAATCAATGTAAATGAGGAATTTTGCTTGTTTCTGGTTTTGGTCAGTAAGTCTATTATTGTATTTTACTTACTGTTATTGTACCTGACCAGCATGCCCTCACCACACTTTTGTACCAACCAATCCTCTGCCTGCAATTCTCTTTCTGTAACTGGTCATGTGAATGACTTCCCTTACCTTCAAGTCTTTGTTCAGATGTTTCTTCCCAGTGAGTCCAATTCTGGTTATGCTTGCAAGCCACCATTTCACTTGGACCTCCTATACCCCTTCACCCTTTAGATTGCCTATTTTTTCCCTTGTATCCATTACCTTTTACATATTTTTATTTATATCATATAATAAAATTGTTAGATACATATTTTAAATACTACCTATTTAATTTATATATCATCTCTTTGCTCCTTGTTGAATATAATCTCAACAGGAATTTTTATCATTTTTTGTCTGCATTTAGTTTATAGAAGTATTCCCCAATGCCTGTATGTAGAATAGAGCTTAATCAAGGACAACTTCAAGGGCCTTCTTTGGAAAACTGGAAGACTGAAGTTTCAGTTTTCAAGATGAGGAACTCTGAGACAGGGAGAACCAGGCATTCAGTTCTGGGTGTGTTAATTTGAGATGTTTTATCAATTGGTTAAGACTAAGTTTGCTACAGTGAACAACACAAAACTCTTAATGCCTTTCAACAACAACAAAAATGTTTATTTCGCACATTTGTGTCCAACAAAGGTCATCTGTGACTGTATGGCCTTCATTCCATGACCCAGGTGGAAGGAGCAGCCTCTTCTGGAATGTTCTGGTGTCAGAATAGAGAAAAGAGTGAGCAGGTTGGAGATACATGATAGCCCCTGAAGCTTCTACTCAGAACTGGTACATGTCACTTCTCACATACCATTGGCCAAAGCAAATTGTGTAGCCAACTTGCAAATACCAGCAAAATAGGGTTCAATATAATACTAGTACTGGAAAAGGCTCCAAATATCTTCAACCATAATACAACCTGCTACAGATGCTTATTTGACATCTAAGTGGTAATATCACTAGGTGGGGAGCCTGAAATTCAAGAGAAGGTCTGAGCTAAAGATGTAAATCTTAGAATCTTTAGCATAGTATTTACACTTTGAAATGAGAATAAACTAAAGGAATAAGTATAAATAGAAAAGAAACTTCTGATTAAGTGTGGGGTGATCTAGCATTTGGAAGTCACAGAAAAGAGAAACAGTCAAATATGTCTAAGAAAAAGTGGCCTGTAAGGACCAAGAGGAGAACTAGGAAAAAGCAGTGTGTTGGGGGTAAGCAAAGAGGGTTTCAAGTAGCAGGAAATGATTTTACCCTGTCAGAGGCTGCTACAAGAAGAGAAGAGGCCTGGGAATTGAGTGGAGGATATTGGTAAAGCTACCAAGTTTTACTATGGGGGATTGGTTGGCAAACAAACCTGATTGCAGTGGGTTTAGGAGAGAATGGTACTAAATGAATTTAACACAGTACTTATGAATAGATTCTACAGACTATTCTCAGATAAAGGATGCACAAAGACTAGAGGCCACAAACTATACTGATAAAGATCAAGGGAGCAAAGCAGAGATGCCAGAACATCTAAACATGAGCAGAGTATTGCTAGCCAAAGTAAATGTATACCATTCATCTGCTCAGATGTCTCTCTTCCTAGCAACCTGAGGAAGCTAAATGAAATTTCCCCGACACCTCTAACTCCACTTTTATCATAAGGAAAATTTCCTTTCCATATAGCTCTTCTCTAAATTCTTTACGTCGAACTACCCCTTGCTCTTTATGTACTTTACCCTCTAGTCTCATGGAGTCTCAAAATTCAATAGGCAGTCCTGTGACACGCCCCCCCCCCCATTTTTAACTTTACTCATAACTTTCCTTCAAGTCAAAATCCAACTGTAAATTTGGTATTTCTGCTCAAATGTCCAAGCTGATTCAATGTGAATCTTGCTGAAGGTCTCTTATATTGACAGCTTCTGGTACTGACTGCAACAATCCAATCCTTCCATTGCTAGACATTGTTACTATTAGCTCTGTTCAAACCTCTAGTCTCATTACTTGCCTAATGCCAGTCCGTTAGTCAATGACTGAACTGTCGCCCAGTTCTATACATGCATGTTATAAGACAGTATGTCTAGTATAAATCCATCTAGCATGAGGCTATGCATCTTTAAAGTTGGATTGGTAAAATGGACCTGAAAAAAAATAGATACAAAATATATTTGTCCTATGATTTCTAGAGGAATACATTATAACGATGTGGTTTTTTTTTTCTTCTTTTTGTTTATATATTTTACCTCTTTAACAATGAAAATATATTACTTAAGGAAAATAGCCTAACAGATTTTGGAGGTTCAGGATTCCAGATAAACTTCACTTCCTGTAATCACTTTATTTTATATTCTCATTCCACCAGTTTTGCTCAACCCTAATGTCAGAAGATATTTGGCATTTTCAGGCAGATTTCTTGCTATTGCTGATGGAAATGGACCGTAGAACTGCTACAACTATATTTTGATACAGTGATGTGTTTCTTTCCATTTTACAGTGATATGGAAAGTGGTTGGTGGGTTTATCTTAATCTCATAAAGTATTATGTCAACAGCAGATCCCTTTACAGCATCCTAAATAGAAATTACCTGAATATAAATACAAAGAAACTTCCTCTTATATTTTAGTATAAATAACTTTCTATTTCATGAGTGTTTCAAGAATATTAGACTTTACTGAAAGTAAAAGAACTCGGCATGAACATATTTCTTCTTAGAAAATAGTATAAAGGAAATATTTAAAGTTAAAGCAATGGTTTCCTGGTACTATTTAATGTTTATTGGCCTTTATCTGTCATGAGTGAAATGCTGAGACAAAGGAAGAGGGAGGAATGTTTACGGGTGGGAAAAGAGAAAATTCCAGTTTCTGATTATTAAATTGCCTAACTTTGAGTTCTCATTGACAAATATTGGCACATGGCCTAGAGGCTCACCTTGTGACTGTTTGAGCTTTGTAAAGGGCTTAAAGGAAGTCTTAATCTGTTCTGAAGTGGAAACTAAATCTTTTGTAATAGAATGACAAAAAGAGAAAGCCCCTTCTTCCCCATTCTGCCACTTCCCTGAATAAATTATTTTGTTTACTTCTCCACAGAATATAATGTAGACTCTATGCTTTTTTTCAATAATGATTTTCTAAAAGCCAGCTGTTCAAACAAATCAATGAAAGCAGTTTCTACTTTTTATCACAAACATACTTTGCATTTCTAATAAAGAATTCAGCATAAACAGTGTAATGTGACTAACACCGTAATAGTACTACCTATGTTTGGCATTTTGTAATTATCTAAGGGACCTTCTTATATATAAATTTGATTCTCAAATCTAAGAACTCAGAGAAGTAGATATTGCTAACTGTATTTTAGGAATGGCTAAGATGAGACACAGGATGACAAATCAGCTTACACAGGTGGGTGACAGGGGTTCCTCTTGCAGTCCTTTTAGTAACATAGGGGTGAATAGGAACATCCAAGTCAATGGGCATGCCACTGTAAAGAGCACTTTCAGGTCTGCCAGCTAATTTTCTGCAAATCAAGGCTACATTAGAATTGTACTGCAATCCCAAGTCCAATAAA